ATCGAATTTACGACATCCTGCATTCAAGGCGAACATCGAGATTTTTCATAAGATCACATGTGTTATTCGGTATATCGAGAAAAATGATCGTGAAAAAATAACTTAAAGTGGTCTAGCATTGAGATCGGATCGTGAAAGATCTGGTATGGGATTCTACTTCAATATCTGTGAAAATTCAGCTTTATTTTCAAAAGGTGGAACAAATCCTTAATAATACATTGTAATATAGTAAAAGAAAAAATGCAGTGCTTTTTAAGAAAACACAACATGCGACACTCAAACCTATGAGAATCATTGAGAAAAAATCAAGTTTTGTATCTATTATGGTCACATTCCAATATATCATAATGTATTTGAAACTTAATCTTTAGTGTGTCAGGTTGTCCAGTAAAATAAAAGTATGTAATTACTTGAAAAAAGTTCATATGATTTTTGAAAAAAGTATAATTTTTACCTGTATAACTGGTATTCGGAATATGAATAAAAGGAGATGGGGTATATACTTCCAAATGAACATATGTGTCGGAGTTAAATAAAAGGCATCAGTAGTTTAAGGATGTTAAAACTTTTTATAAAAATAAGAAGAGGTGGTACGATTGCCAGTGATACAACTATCCACCAGAAACTAAAGGACTAGTATGTAAACTATAGCACAGTACGTTCTTCAACAAAGCACTAATTCATTTTGAATATACATACCAATATACAGTTTATCTTTATTTCAACTATTACCCTTTAATTCCCAATCAATGAAATCATAAAAGGAGCATGCTATGTATAAGAATTTGATTCATTACAGATAATGCAAATCTAGTTTACAATGAATGGAAACAAAGTAATGTTTTACCATTTCCTCAGGTAAGTGGTCATTGGCTATCATATGTTGAGACGGTAAATTATAGAGCTATAGCAGTTGCTCTATCAGTTAATCATTCGGGTGATTAAAGTATGCAAATTAATGCACAGTTTTTAACGAAGTTAACAAAGTTCATACACACAATATTTATAACATTTACTGCAATTAATGCCAAACAATACAACGTTGTAACAAAAATTCAAAACGTCTTACATAGTACCTTATGACATCTTATTACCCTATGTTGTATTTGTATACACGACAAAATATAATAACATTAATGGAACCAAATTTACCGCACCAGACACGTATTTTGACAATTAATGTATCTTTAGTGGTGCTCGATGCCAAAATATTTGAAAATCCACAACTTATACAAACGTTAAAGAGCTGATAAAACCAAAAGTACCTGAAGTATAGCCAATTCCGGACAAAGACTCGGAGCTTTGCATGATATTTTTATTAATTTAAAATGATTCCTAAAATTATAACAACAAATTTCAATTCAAAATTAATCCGCATTGTCATGCCAGTACTTACTACTTGGCTTGTATCACAATTTATAAGGTCAGAAATAACAATTTACAAAGATTGAGAAACCAAACGTCAAATACATATGTCAATCAAAGAAACGTATATAGATATGTAAAGAAGAAAAGGTTTCAGAACCACTCTCTGGTCAAAAGTATGTTCTTCTATAAATAAAAAAAAAGAAGAAAGAGGCGGTTGATATCAAGGGGAGATTTAAAACTCATAAGTCGAAAAAACCATGGCAAAAAAAGGAAAACGACGAAAAGACAAACAAGTCCAAAAACACAGCACAGAAAACAAAAGTTGATCAACATGCACCCTACAAAGAACTTGGGGTGAGCTCAGGTGCTCCGGAAAATAAAGTTCCTTCTCTAAATGTGGCTGATGCAAGTACAAATCCGGTGAAAAGTCTCATTCGGTGATGTCACAATCGAGGAAAAGAGGATGGTATTGTTGTTATGGCAATTGTGACATATTCGTGGTCATCAGTGACAAACGGTCAACCAACTCGTGATGGCGTCCGTAAAACTTTCGACGGGAATACTTTAACTTCACCACTCTGATCCCTTGGTTCAAGGACTTCCTAATAGGCAGCAACCCTCTATTGTTGAAATCATGATAGGAAGCTCAGGAATATCGTATCAACATGGAGATATATACTCAATACCACTGATCAATGAATTTTAGTCTTTAACGGTCATTTGATTTAACATCAACTGAGAAGTCTGAATAATAACTTATTGAGTCATTTCCCGTCTTTTAATAAATTTTCAGACTATTCCACTGTATTAAATTCAGTACTGTTCAAACAATTCGAGTGCGGTCAATTCAGTTCTGTTCATTAGCTTTTCAGACAATTCAGTATTATGTTGATGTGTTCAAGTAAATAACAACTAGTAAATCTGAACATCGACTGAACAGACCTTAATTTTATAAACTGTTTATTATTGGCGTTAATGCGGCTTACGCTACACAGGATTATTTTGCGTTTTAGAAATGAACTGACAAAACAGCTATGCAAAGCATCAAGTAAATATTGTTTTACACTGAATTTTTTAGACAGTTTAATTTTAAGGGTTTTCAATATACTTTGATTTGTTTCTTTGTGATGTCGTTCCAATTTTACATTTAGTGACAGTTTTTATACAAAACTGAATTTCAAGTAGATAATTTGGTGTAAGTTTGTTAAACGAGAAAAATGTCAGAACAATTGTGATTTTTACCAAATGGGAAGAATATATATCTGTTTCTTTGTGTGTGTTTTTTCTAATAATATTTGCTTCGTTATCTCATAAAATTATATTTTCTTTCAGGTACCAAGAATGCAAGCAGATCTCATTTTCTATACACCTATGATTAAATTGGCAGACGTAGTATCAAGATGGTTAAACAAGACATATTTGCTCAGCTTCGAATACATTTCAGAGAAACCATCTGGACCGTTGTGGCAAGGTTAGCATAAACAGATTTTATTAATTTAACTTATACACGCCACTACCTATACACTAAAAATTAGATGAATCGTTTGTAATTGAAATAAAGAATCAGATTATATACAAACACTTCTTCAAAAGTCATTATGCAAAACATTACACAGTACAATGAAAATTTAACAACATTTTCCCACCCAAAACCAAGGATGAACTCCCGCGCTCCAGTAGGCAACAAGTTTTTGTTCTATTGCTGACATATGTTTACAAATCTCTTATTTATACTTTCTGACATTATTACCGGTTTTGTTTCTGGTCGACACTTGATACTGCATACATATCTTTGGCAATGCGTTTTTGCTGTGCAATCACGTTATTGAACGTGAAAAATTTAATGAATCGAAAGTATCATCGAAGATTATGTGTTCCAGAGTAAACGTTTCGAATACAAAAAACTCATCCGTGGCACTAGAATCAAAGAAAGGGCAAATCAATTTAAAGAGCATTCGAAACCGAAAACTCATAGAACATTCATTAGTAGATAATTAGAATTTCAAGCAGTAAGGCAAATAACACATTGTTTTCCATTCAAGGTGTACCACATGGCTGGGACTTGTTTTATATGTTTGGTATACCACTTGTTGGACACCATATACATAATTTTACAGCAAGAGATGTAGAAGTGTCTAAAACTACTATGTCATTATTAAGTGACTATGTGAAATATGGGTATGTATATGATCCCTCTTTATATTCAGTTTTTTCGAACTGCTGTTTTTTTTTTTGATAGGTTTATGATTTTCTCATAAGACTGAGTTTTTGTTATGCGAATCAAACAGTATTAAAGATGACATTATTTTTGTTGTACGATCCAATTTCGTACCATAATATATACCTACTAAGTATCAATTAGCTGAGGACATTTCTTAATCTCATATATGCTCGGATGCACATATGGCAAGGACTAGATCGTTTTTCATTCCTCTCTGTTCTGTGCTGTCTTTTCTATCTCGCCGCAGCTGATTCTCTGTTCTTTCATGTCGGCTTCAACTGCTTGTTGCCAAGTTGTTTTGGGGTATCCTTGTTTTCTTTTTCCCTCTGGTGTTTTTCTTACGTCGACTCTTGTCATGTCCTTGGCTGGTCTACGTAGAACATGACCAATTAATCTCTTCCAATTTCGCTTCAGTAGTTTCTCTATGTTGTTGGATACTGTTATTTCATGGCGGTCTTTGTTGGAATCTTGCAAGGCCATACTATCCTTTAGATCTTTTTGAGGCAGCTGTTATGAAAACTGTAAAGCATATTTATGGCTATTAAAATGCATCTGAATTCTGTATAAAACATTTAAATGAGCTGTACTATTTTTACTGTCATTCCGTACAAGCTTTTTATATAGATATAGGAAGATATATGTATGCTTTCAAAGGCTTTTCCAAATCTTCAAAGTTAATTATCAGTTGTCTTTGCCATTCTTTTCACTGTCCAATAATGGTCGCTCTGTCCTAATGTAAAACCTGCATGTTTTCTTCTGAGTTTGTTGACAATTGATGTTTTAATCTTATTACAGTATTTTGCTGACAATTTTACTTCGGATTGATAAAAGTGTTATTCCCATCAAATTAATGCTGTTGGTGAGACCAATGTATGATGTTTCCTTCTGACCAGTGTTTTGGTTTCTTGTTGTAATGTCAAATCTGTTTTAGTATTGGGTGTTAAGGTTAGATCTGCTTTAAATAAATCTGTTGATAGCTTATTATTTCCAGGGGCTTTGTTGTTTTATAGGTTCTCATCTGTTCTGTCTATATCGGATTTTGATAGAATTTCTGTGTTTACTTCAAGATATTGTTCTGCAATTTATATATTTGCTATTGTTTTTGGTTCTAACCTATTTAATACTTTAAAATGTTCTTTTCATATCCTCTCTTTCAGATGTTATTAGTTGACCCTGTTTGTCTCTGACTTGTATGTTAGCTTTTTTTGTGAGCACACAGCTTCCTTGTGGTCTGATAAACATTACAAATTCTTCGCTCTGAAGCAGCCTTTGCAGCCTATATGATATAAAATTAATTTTGAATAGCCTAAAAATTCAGTTAGTTTACCATATTTTCTTATCAATTTGAAATAGATGAAATAAATTGTAATGATTGGATACTGTAAATCATCTATTTTTTCCTCCTGTACAGATATTTGTCCACCAATGACACTGAATTAACAGGAGTTTACGATTCAAAACTTAGAAACTACTACAAGATAAACTACAATGGTACACAGACTATTGTTACTTCTGGAGTCAACTTCAAGAAGCCATATTATGAATTCTGGAATAAATATCTGTATCAATATGAAGACATGCTGTGCGATACAAGTACTAAGCTGGGTGTGTGTTTATATCAGCTATTGTTTTCTTTCACAATATATACTCTCTTTTTTACATGATATAATTTGTAATGGCAAAATCTATACAAATTTCCTTACATTTAACAGGGTTGTAATCCTTGTTGTCTATAGAATTCAGGCAGTTAGTTGCATGTTGTACTATCATGCTATCATTATTCATCCCCTGCATGATATTGAGTAAAACTGGAGAGTATTTTTATAACTTTCAATTTATTTTTCTATTTCCTTAGTGTCTAATGGGTCTAGAATATCAACTTAGAGTTAATGATAATAAAAATGACATTTTTTGGTTTGGTTGTGGGGTCGAAAATGTGATTTCGTATTAAACGATTGGTCTCAAAACTTACTATGTAGACACTACCTGTATCTTTTGTTAAAAGTAGACACATAACATCACGCACGGTTGTAAAAATTGTGTCAGAAAGTCAGAATATATATATCATTTTTCTTCTCTTATTAAAATATCTTGAAATGACCGAAGTTTTGTTTTACATTTAAAATAAAAGACGGGTGACACGGTGTAATGCAATTTTTTATTGTATATATTGTAACAAGTTACATGATCTTTTAACATCGGTCATATTCACAAACAGTTTATGGTGTAGCACTGCCATTAAGAGCTACATTGTCAAAATTTAATTTCCCAAACATAACCCTTAAATTTTAGTTTTGAAATTGCACGTTCATATATTATTAATGAATTCTTTTTGTTTAGTAGTATATATTTTAATGGATAATTAAAACGGCAATCATACCACATCTCCTTATTTTCATATAAAGATTGTCAAAGGCAAATATACAGACTTTCTGTAAAAAACACAAAATAAACAGTATAATTAAAGGCAACAGTAGTATCCCGCTGTTCAATAGGCATAATTCGATTAAGCAAAAACAAATCCGGGTAACAAACTAAAACCGAAGGAAACACATCCATTAAGAGAAAAACAACGGACCAATAGAAACACTGAACTACAACAAAAGCAAACGCCAACATACATAGAAACGGAAGGCGTGATAACAACTGCCGTATTTCTGACTTGGTACAGGACATTTTAAGAAAAAATGGTGGGTTGAACTTGGTTTTATGGGTAGACAAACCTCCCGCTTATATGGCAATGTTAAAAATACATACGAAAATATACTTTATGGTTAATCATATTGATGTTATTTCGATAAAATTTATCATGCATGTATGATTGTATACGTCGTGTTTCTGATAAATTGATAAAAGTCGGTTGTACTATGTGAAACGTTTGAAAAAAAATTTAGCTCATACGTTGATTGATTGATTGATTGATGTTTAATGCCACATTCTTCACTGTTGTACTATTTCGTGGTGCTCAGTTTTTATTGGTGGAGGAAACCGAAGTGCCCGGAGAGAACCACCGACCTTCGGTAGGAAAACTAACAGTCCTAGTCAATTAAGATTGGAGTCGAGCGCGCCTAACACGTGCGGGAATCGAACTCACATCCTCAGTGCTGACAAGCTAACGATACAGTAGTTCTACTATTTTGACCACTCGGCCACCGATACCCATACATTTTCGAAAGTATTATAGCTCAGATTGCCAGAAACTTTTACAAAAATCTTTTCCCCTGAAACTACTGGGCCAAATTTAACCAAACATGGCCACAATCATCATTTGGATATTTAGTTTCAAAAATGTGTCCGATGACCCCACTAGCCAACCAAGATGGCCGACATGGCTAAAAAAGAACATAGGGGGTAAAATGCAAGTTTTCTCTATTATTTTGAAAACAGTTATCAATAGAGAAAATCTGACAGGGGCAAAAATGTTCAGAATGTTGAGCTCTACCAATAGTTGATATACGTCAAAACTGTCAAACGACTTCTTATAGAGGAGTTATTGCCCTTAAATGACAAATTTTACCATTTACTTTTTTCATTTTTGCCTATTATCTTGAACACTATAATAAATAGAGATAAACCTAAAAATGCAAAAATGATCAACAAGAGAAGTTCTACAAATAGGTCTAATTGTCGAAATCGTCAGTCGACCCCTTATAAGAGTTATTGCCCTTTGATGACGGTTTTTATCATTTTTTTGCGTGTTTTGCCTTATATCTTAAAAATTATAATAGTTAGATAGAAACTTAAATAAGCAAAAATTATCAGCAAGACAAGATCTACAATTAATATAAATTAGAAGATGTGGTATGAGTGCCAATGAGACAACTCTCCATCCAAGTCACAATGTATAAAAGTTAACAATTAAAGGTCAAAGTACGGCCTTCAACACGGAGCCTTGGCTCACACCGAACAGCAAGCATTAAGACAGTATGGTGAAACCGTCTGACGACTCCTTATTGGAGTTATTGCCCTTAAATGACGATTTTTACTATTTTTTTGCGTTTTGCCTTATATGTTAAACATTATAATAGATGAATAGACACTTTAAATCACAAAACTATTCAGTTAGGCAAGATCTACTAACAAGTCAAATTTCGCCGATATAGTTAGTAGACTGTCACTCTTTATAGGAGTGATTGCCCTTAAATGAGAATTTTTGTTACCCTCCATTGTGTTTTGAAGAAGATATAGGGACACTAAACAGACTTAATTATCAGCAATACAGGATCAACAAAACAGATATTTTTGTCATGAATTCTATTCTCGTCTACAATGTTGGAGAGTGTCCATTGTTGACTATTCACATAGACCAAAGTGAGCGACACAGGCTCTTTAGAGCCTCTAGTTATAATAACAGATAATCAGCATGATAAACTATTTTGTTTATGTCCTTTTTGTTATATAGCTTATAACGTGGCAACATATTTACGCATCCTTGTTACGGTTTGATTCTTCCTGATTCAGGTAAATCCGGAAAAGCGCATCGGACGCATGCGGGTTTTTTTTTTCGTTTATGTCAAAACCTCTGTAGTCGATCACTTAAACATCAGATTAATATGTATTAAATCATTTTATTCGTTTAATTTGTTATAAATTAGAGGCAAAAGTAGTTTATCGATATTTATATCTCATAAATCCGTTTAAAAAATTTCAAATCAAGGTGAAAAAGAACAAATGAGGAAATTGCATGCATTCCAAAAGGAACACGTTTGTGATATAGCATTGAATTACACTATACCTCTTCTATGTAATAAATCTTTTAATAATTGAAAATACAGGAATTACATATGAATGTGCAATACCCATAACTATAATTAATGACTTTGAAGGATATCTTTTTATTATATAAATGTTATAAAATGTTTTATCAATATTTTAGTTTGAAAAAAGATCAGATTTATTATAACAGTCGGAATGGCTTCAGATATACATATAAAGATAAGAAGATGTGGTATGATTGCCAATGAGACAACTCACCACAAGAGACAAATGACACAGAAATTAACAACTATAGGTAACCGTACGGCCTTCAACATTTAGCAAAGCCCATACCGAATAGTCAGCTAAATATTTAGAAAAGGGGGACCTATTCCCTAAGACGTGATAATCTATACTAGCGTATAATATCAATGTCACCCAAATAGTTCAATGGATTTTATAGTCCCTTAGCGGTCTATTTCTACAAATATTATCAATATCGCTCCCTTAATAAACATATACAGGCGGCGATCTTATTTTTTTTACAATTTACCATCATAAAAATATATCCTAAAGTTAGGACCATCCTAAGACCATGTTGCTAATTTGTAGTACAAATTCGATAAAAAAAATCCATTTGATGATGTCACAATCGAGGAAAAAGGACGGGATTCCGGGATATAACATCGGAGCATATAAGCCCCACGTTCCCAACACGAGATATCAGTTTAATGACATCCTGTGTATTCATACATTATGCTTAGTTAAACGAACTTGCAACAGCTACGGCTTTATTGTCGGACATACCATATTGCTAATACATAAAAAGTATATTTATAAATACAATTCATCGTGTTGTATAACAAGTTCTGCATGCTTTGATGTAAAACAAAAATTTCAAAACACATTTTGCTCTTGAAATGAAAGACAAAACCTCATAACAAGTTACTTTTTCTCCCCGACATAACATGCATTGATCTTTTAAAATGTCCTCTAAGACAGACATATGATCAAATCATGCACTTATGAAAGTCTTTCATAATCAAGTTAAAGAATTTGAAAAACGATCGACAAAGAAGTGTAATTATAAGCTCATTATAGAAACATTTATGACGAGTAGTAATTCGTATTTTTGTTAATATTAAATACCGAAATAACGCAAAAAACATATACACAACGGTTCATCGCACACAGATGGTTCTTAATAGACATATAAGACTCGACCAAGGATTCATCTACTAAACGGACAACAAAAAATACTGTTACGAAATCTATTCAGTTAATGTTAGTAATTATACACAGGGAATACTTCAACTAACAACTTGAAGTAATTTGGGTATTCTTTTGAGGTTCCTGTTGTTCACATAGCTTCTCACTTTTTGGGATACAGGTTTTTATGTTACCTAGCCTTTCAAAGGATTTGATTTGAGCGTTCTTGATGGTATACCCAGAATACCTATGCGGACGCACAGAATTTATTTATGTGTTTAATTTAAAGTGTAGCCACCGATATGAGATAGTAGGTCGGCATTAAGCAGTATTATTTCTTGAAGTTTGCTCTTACTTGTTGTAAATTATATTATTACACTAAAATATATTGAAAAAAGGGTAGAGCTGCCATCTTAACAAAATAAGTAAAATCCCGTCACATTTTCAATTGATGTGTCACGTCATTGTTTTGGGTGGTATTTTGATGCCCATTTTCTAGTTTTTCTGTTTAGAAGTTCTGTTTTTCTTTGACTTTGTTTTTAGTCTTTTTAAAATCGCCTCCCTCTTTTTACATGTTTAATGGAGTTAGTGTTTTGTGTCGTTAGTTTGCTGTCTTATTGACTTATCCCAAACTTTTTTTCTTTAAGGTATGTTTTTTTTCCACGTTCAATAATTTTTACCCACTACATACTAATATACCACATTGCAAACACTATAATATAATATAATATAATAGGCAACATTTTTTACCATAAATTAACAACTATGTTTAAAACAGAAAAAAAAAACATGTTATCATTATAGGTTAGCATTGTTGTTTTCAGAGGCAAAAGAATTTAAACAATATCTTTAAGAAAATACCCTCCTGACCATAATATATATATTTAATTACAACGAATGTCAAAAGAGCGGGTTAATTCGGAAATTCCAGTTTTATTTCCATAATTATTTTTCGCATCTAGACATTCGAGAAAAACAATCATATAATAAAGCACATAAATGATCAAGTTTTATGTCAGTTGTGTTAAGGTGGTTTCATGAATTTGTACTTCCGGTTGATATTTATCCTTTTTCTTTCATTTCATATTTATGTTATATTTCGATATAACACTGAAACTCAAAGATTTAATCATTTAAGTCAAGATTTGTTAATCTACTCATAATATTGGTATTATGCTACTAATAATCATTGTTGTCTTACCTCCTTTACATTTCTAGGAATATGATTGGTTAAAAGTGACCGCGTAGGGATACAGTATTTTTAATATGGGGTTATTGGGCGTGTTTTATTTTAATATTGGGTTATTAGCAGTGTTACGTTTCTTTGTAAAACCACATGAATGTTGATGAAAAATTTGAAACGTTTCGACCAAACAACAGATGAAGAAATTTATGGTGAACAACTGAAAATCACTTTGACAGGCCACTAGTGTAAATGCCACTTGTTAAGATAGTCGGTAATATAAATTTGTTACATAGTGTGCTTCGCGCTCACCTCATATGGAATTTACTGACCCCATATATATCGTATTAGTTCACTAGCACACTGTGTAAATAATAATATCTATTAAGTTACATCGTTATCAAAATATGTTTTTGACCGACTTTTCGTGCTGAAAACATGCTGTTACTAATCACAATGTAAGTCTAAAATCAGCAAAGACCAATCGAAACAACATCTGATACAAAAATTTGATAACACTTTTAAATATTTTGATGATATTTTGGCTCTCAATAATGACGACTTCAGTATGTACACTAAATAGATTTATTCTGCTAAACTTACTTTAGATAAAGCTAACACTAACAATGAACACTGCCCTTTCTTGGATCTTGATATCTATATCATTAACGGAAAGCTTAATACTTAAATTTACGATTAAAGGGATGATTTGTCATTTCCTATAGTTTATTTTCCGTTTTTGACTTTCCCTTGGCACCATCGTATGGTGAACATATATCTCAACTTGTTCCATTCGCTCGTGGATGTAACAACGTATTTGATTTTAACGAAAGAAGTCTCTGTATTACTGAAACATTATTACACCAGGGTTTTTGATATCACAAACTTGTCAAAACTTTTGATACATTTTATCATCGCTACAACGACATCATTCGTAAATATAAATCAACGTGCATACATCTTATTCGTTCGGGTATTTCACATCCCATCATTTATGGTAATATTCTATACGAAGCACAAAAATATCGTCATTCACATCAAAAGCTAATCAAAACTTTACAATTACTTACACATAAGGGATATAATTACGATACTAATGTCAAGTCATTGACGATGGAATTTTTATGTCGTCGCCGTGGCGGAGGGGGCATTCAGTTTAACCCTTGTCCGTACGTCCCAAAATTAGTTGCCATTCTTTAATCTTAGTTTTTTTCATCCAAATGTTATAAAACTTATACTCAATGCTTATTACAACCACACACAGATCAAGTTTGAATATGGGATGCGTCACCTTTGCTGTTCTCGAGTTATGTTCCTTTATAAATAGATAAATTGGAAAATTTGTAGTTTCCGCACTCTAGCTTTACTTTGCCAAAACCAAATGTTCTGAAACTTATACACAATGCTTATTACTACCAAACACAGTTCAAGTTCGATTAGGGTAGCGTCACGTTTACCGTTTTCGCGTTATGTCCCTTTATAAATGGAAAATTTGGCAAATGCGTCGTTTCCGCACGCTAAATTTCCTTTGCCACAAACAAATGTGTTCTGAAACTTATACACAATGCCTATTACCACCAAACACAGATCCAGTTCAAATGTGAATGTCACTCCCACTGTTGCATATTTACAAGCGTGGGCATATAGGTTATTTGGAAAAAATATTGATTCACTCATAGGGTTTTTGCATCGCAAATAAACATATGTATTCTAAAACCAGTTGTTGGCATGATACGGGTTATGTTCTTCTCGTATAATTTATGATGGCATGATACTTAATTCCCAACGAGAGGGATTGTGATTGAACTTTAATTAGGTCTGGAGCTGGCATGTCAGTAACTGCTAGTAGTCATTTGTTAAGTTATGTTTGCATTGTCATTTTGCATAGTTCCTTCTGTTACCTTTTCTAACATCGAACTCGGGCTTCTGTTGAATTGAGGTATACTGTGCGCATTGCATTGCAGTCTTTTTTCACATTGGCTAGAGGTATAGGGGAAGGGTTGTGATCTGACAAAACATGTTTCGCCCCGATGCATGTTTGCGCATGTCCCAAGTCAATAACCTCTAGCCTTTGTTAGTCTTGTGTGTTTTTATAGTTTAGGTTTATAAGGATACAACATATACAGAAGTCTGCCGCATATCTTGACTTACATCTAGAAATTGCCAATGAGGGTCGGTTGAAAACAAAACTTTACGACAAAAGTGATGATTTCAGCTTCCAAATTGTGAACTTTCCATTGCTATGTAGCAACATTCCAGCAGCGCCTGCATACGGAGTATATATCTCCCAGTGGATACGATATTCCAGGGCATGTGTTTTCTATCATGATTTCCTTGATAGAGGGTTGCTGCTCACAAGGAAGCATATCACCGGGTATGTACTTACAGGAAAAACACGACAGGTACCACATGTGGAGAAGGACCTGCTTACCCTTCCGGAGCACCTGAGATCACCCCTAGTTTTTGGTGGGGTTTGTGTTGCTCAGTCTTTGGTTTTCTTTGTTGTTTTGTGTACTGTTGTTTGTTTGTCTTTTTCTTTTTTAGCCATGGCGTTGTCAGTTTATTTTCGACTTATGAGTTTGAATATCACTTTGGTATCCTTCGCCTCTCCTTGGCTATAATTAAGGACCGTAAGTTGACATATTTTAGACGTCTTATTTGTTACTTTGTTCGTCTACTTTACGTTTATATATCGGTTTTCATTCAAAATAATAAATGAATTAATTAGAAGAAAACAAACATTCACAATTGCTTTCAATTGATAATAACGCTCAATAAAATTTATTATTCCAAATTGCCTTTAATGAGAGCATGTGTGGTGTGTTTTAATGTTGGTTTGTGTGTTCATTTATGAAAAATATAATTTTGATTGATTTCTCGGATCTCGATCATATTTATGTTTCTTTTATTAAACTGCATGTCTGTCTCCTCTCGTGTCAACGAAATCTCTGAATAGTGCTTCTGAACAGGTTTTTTAAACTATATACTAAGAATGTAATCATCAAAGGGCTGTGGGTTTTATCATAAAGATGAGACGATGTTGCATTATTGCCAATGAGACAACTTTCCGTCAGAATTCAAATGACGTAGAACTTATAACTATAGATCACCGTACAGCAAAACCGCAAAGCAAGCTACATAACTCGACATGACATATGTAAAACAATTCAGATGAGAAAAATAACTGCCTAATTTACACACAAAACAATAAACGAAAATGAAATATGAAGTACAGCAACAAACGAGAATTATTAAAATGCGGCCTCCTGATTTGGGTCAGGTACATAGAGAATGTGTTTAGGTTAAACTGTTTTGCGGGCATCCAACCCCCCTTTAACCTTGGACAGTGGTGTAACAGCACAACATAAGAACAAACTATAAAAAAAACATTATATCTAAGTTCTCTGTTTTCGGTATGGTTGTTATGTACTATCTTTTGTCTTGTCATGATCTATGTTATATCAATTCGAAGCAACAGTAGTTTACCTAAGTTCAAATCTCATAATTCCTTTAAGAAGATACAAATTAAGATGAAATCGAAACTGCATGAACTTCTGAAGGAGCAAGACCGGATACGTCGAAACGGTAAGCTTCTTCTGCTATGTCAGCATCACCTGTCATTCGAATCCACATTCCATAATCGTGAATATAAGTTGTAGGTTATCATTAAAATGTCCTGTTATCGTTCCGAAAATGATTTTACGATAGAATTCAATTACATTAGGTCTCCAGTATACCTGATGAATGCAATTCCATAAAACATTGTTTAATTGAAAAAAAATGTAAACGTCAAATACATAGTAATACAAATACAATTAAATACAAAAGACCTACATTACATTACATAAACAATCTACACGTGTCTAATATTCATTTCTATTTATTTTAATAGAATGCAAATTACTGCTATAAAACAATAAATATAAATGGTTATAAGAATCTCGCTTCCTCCATTGCATTGAAAGTCTTGTGTAAATAGATATTTGTACCAGAATTCTGTTCTCGGTTCTCTAAAATTAGTTTCCAACGTGATATTTGTTTGTTTGTTAGAATAATCCAGTTTGTAAAAGGTTTTGCTCGAGGAGTTATACGTTTGAAGTTTCCCTTCTGATTTGAAAGACAAGTATCTGAAATAAAATACAATTCATTTATATATGTTGTCTGTCGTAGTGTGGAGAATTATTATCTTTGAACATGGTCCGTTTGGTACTTTCTGTCGTTAAAGGAAAAATTGTGCGCAAGTCATGTTTTGTAAAGAAAACAAATAAAAGTGATACGAATTAATCAAAACAAAATAAACTTCGCAATTGTATATAACATTTTACATACAGCAGTCTTCATGCTGATATCGAGTTAAAATTAAACAAAAGAATTCGAAGTCTTTAGAAGAGAACATAAAAATAGCCATGCTTGATATATTCATATTATTTATATACGTGTTATTACTCAGATTATAGTATGGAGCTTCGAGATGTTTGTAAACTTTATTAAAAAAGACAAATTTTCACAAAACTGTTGGTTATGGTAGGTGCAAATATATTTGTTTCTTTAATATGAATAAGCATAAATTCCATCGTAAAACCAAACCCACAGAAATATGAAACAATTATATTCTTAAAGCATAAACTTTCATCTCTGCCCCCAGCAACATTTTTAGGGGAAAAAATAGGCAATAATCTTATCGAAAACAGAAATTCGGGTACATTTTTTACGTTCAGGCGTGTTTGAGTTAACTCTTTATTCTTGAAAACGCATAAAGCAAAAACATTTGGTACATCATTTCGCTTCAGATTCCATTATTAATATATTTTTAGGCTTCATGTTGATATAATAACATTAAAAACACGCAGTACAAAATATGAAATATATGGGTCCAGTGAAGTACCTTTCTAATGAGTCAGAGTAGATGTGCTTGAATAACAAATAATATTCGTTCACTGATTCTTTGAATTAAATTTTATGCTAATTAATTAATCTATTCGTGAAATGTACTAAAATAAAGAAACGTCGGACACATCGTTCACTAACACCCCTTTATTATTTACTAACAGTCCTTGACGGCAGACCTTACTTATGGATACTTTTTATGCATAACTTTGAAAACAATTATTTTTTTCTTTTTGTTAATTAGGATAATAGGTCTTCAACCTCTGAAAAATTTTAATCTGTCTTTTCATGATATTTTTTTTAAATGTTACTTTTTTTTTAACTTTCAAAAATTCCCCTCACAACCAACCAGACACTAATTTTAAGTTGATAACAGGCCTTAAAATACATTAAATGATGCTTTACAGCTAGTAGATACATTTGTCTTTTAAAATACAACGGTCATGTAAAGGATCGTAATGATGCCATGTGGATAAATTAATCCATTTTCAAGCCATCCTTACAATGGCTTGTATTTTTACGATTGAAAATAAGTGGAGTAGTGGTGAGATAATTTTGACGAAGTAGAATCCTCACTGTTGACGTTGGCTAGTTAACTATAATAGACGTTATTACATATTTTTATCATTAGGCAGGTGTTTTCATCAATTTTTCTTTTTTATTAAGGTAACAATACTAATCCTACTCATACCACTCAGATAGATGCTGAGATCTTTTGCTGTAGAATATTGCCTTTTTATACACTTATTTATTTTTTTACTGTTGCTTAATTTTTCGTCTTCTCTTAATAAATATATACATAATTCATATAATCACCCATTTTTGACGAAATCGCTAATTACTGTCATAGTTTCCCTTGCGACTGCAGCATCTCTTGGAGTGTAAGTAAAACCTGGATGACCCACTAATGGCTGGCCGAAAACGTAGAATAAGTCCCAACCATGCTGAACACCTAGATAACGAAGTACAAAACTGTTTGCTGAACAGTAAGTCAATCAATCTTTTTTAAATGAAAGAATATTAAAGTTTTTTAGAGAGTTGATAGTTTTATTTGGTTGGTGATAAAGCTATGACCGGATGCCATTTTGTTTTAAACGCGGGCGCATTGAATTTGTAAACGGTAACGAGTTAAATATAAATGAAGTAATTTTATGATATTCGTATTCCTACGCATTGTTGTAACGTATGCGTTGTCTTGGTGGACATCTGCAGTTATTTTTATTGTGTTACATTTGGGAAATAAACACATAGTGGTTGTTGTATTCCAAATTACAGCTACTGATTATTTGTATTTGAAACTGTCTCTCTCTATCCCTCTGACATTTTAACATAATTTGTTCTTTCTCTTCTCTTTCATGTTTTTTGTATCTTCCCTTTGTGTCTGTCTACAAGTGTGTGTCCCTCTGTCATTTGACAAATCACGAAAGTGTTAATATATTACCTATCCAGTCCGGACCTGAAATATTCTGAGAAATGTACTCAAAGCTAAGAACATAAACATCTTCTATCCACTCAGAAATCATATCTGCTAGTTTTATCATTGGCATAAAGAAAACTAGGTCTGCAACCATGTGTAAATACTGAAACGGAATAATAGAGTGAATCTCTAGATTGTTTAATTGGAAAAAAAAATAAAAAAAATAGTCACGTGCTGATGTCAAAGGAATATTAACTGATACCTTAAAATGACACAAGGAACAATCTTGTTTACATTTTGTGAATTACCAGTTTTCAAAATGTTTCGCCTCAAAAGACAACGGAATCCAATTACCTAAATTGAACTTAATGTACAAACTTAAACTACATAAACATTCTACCTTCATTAGCTTTTGGGCAAAAGTTGTAAAGGAAATAAATAAAACTAGCTTCAACGTGACATTTTTATTAGTAATATTTTACTTACATGGGGATAATGGGATATTTTGTTATTCTTCCAGTCATCATAAATCTTTCTAATGTCTCCTACAAAAATTTAGGTATTGATATACATATAATGTTTTGAGATCACATAAAATACAAGAAGCAAACACCAAATTTTTTGGACATAAGATAAGAATTATTATGAAGAACTGTACATTGTGTTTTACGGCCCAAATGTTTAAAACTTTTCTGTTGATAAATTGATCATTTGTATAAAACAACTTTTGTTTCCTTTCGGACAAGACTGACATTAGATTGTTCTTGTTTTTCCGTTTATGTGTTTGTTTAGTTCAATGTTATAATATATTGGTTTGTATATTACGCCCCCCCCCCCCCCCAACCTTTGGTTTCGACCGTATATTTGAAGACAATGGTGTGTCTTGCGCATTGAATTCTTTATCATACATTAATATTGTAAATCTCTTGTTCAACTAAACAAAATACAGTCATGAGTGATTTTCTCTATCATTTAATCATGCACGTTATTAATCTCCGTGTAAATACATTTTTTAAACAAAATATCAAAGAGGCGGAAGATGCAAAGGGGAAAATCAGAAATCATAAGTCGACCAAAACCAGTCACACCATGGCCTGAAAGAAACCCGTCAAAAAAAGAATTACAACAGTACATTAAACACTACATAGAACCTGAAGATTGATCATCAAAAACTCTATAAAAAATCAGTTGGTGTAACCAGGTGTCAATGATGAGCAGTCCATCTTCAACTAATTGGACCGATCGTGTTGTTCGTGATTATTAGAATTACGTGACGAGTCTCATTCGGTGATGTCACGATCTAGGAAGAGAGGGCGGGATTGTGGTTACAAATAGAACATATCCGTGGCCATCTCTGACACGAATATTCCATAACGGACAATAATATACATGATTGCGTCGTAAAACTTTCAGAGGAATAGGATTTTACAACTTTACCATCAAGAACATTGGTACTAACAAGGGTAATATCACCAACCTCGAGTCAAACACACAATACAATAACATTTTCTGAAGAATTAATTTGGATTTGCTTGCTAACAAGGAAACTCCATTCCTGTCATGATTTCCAAGAAAATGTTGAAGATGCGTTGCTATAAATTTTAAGAAAACAGTCCTCTCTTATTTCATTGTGAAATGTGTAGACTTTTGAATGACATCTGGCTTTACCAACCGTGACGATTGTAATTATAACTATTGATTCTTTTAATAACATTATCAGTACCGAGTTAACTGCACCAAATGTACATTTCGACAATTTTACAATTTTTTAAAGAATACATTATCAACGGGATTAGAAATTAATTATGTTCTTAATTTTCGGAAGCGATGGTATATAGTTACCATAGTGTTCATTCATCCGTCTGTTATCAATTTGTTTGTTAGCATTTGGTATCAGAAACACTTACTCCAATGGTTGACTGGGATATCGACATATAGTCCCCTTGGTTTCTCCCAGTCAGAGGTAAAACGCATGCTTAAGAAGAACATAATTAAGCTGTTCGGGGTGTATAAATACGAAGCTAGGTCTGGGCGGAATGGGAATGATAAAACCAATTCCCGTGTAGAGAGATTGCGATGTACCATAACGAACCCTATCAACAACCCTTTCAGGGATCAGTACTTAAAATTTCTGCTTCGCTATAATATACTCTTTATCAATCGCATTTTTAATATTCCGTCCTTTATCCCGATAAAGCCACTTTGCACATTTTGCAACATCTTCCTATTGAATTTAGTGTGCATTTGTTTTGGGTATGCATCAAATAATTGCCCCTGCAACGACCATACAATTAATCAGTCAGTTAGTCGATCCACCAGAACCATGCAGTGGCTTTTTTTAAAATCAATTTCAGAGACCTGCATAATTTACTTGTTGATGTAAAAACTCTTTTGAGTTTCCGTAGCAAAACATGGATTTTGTTCTTGATTTTTGTGGTAGTAGGCATTTCGTATCCAAAACTCTTCCTATACTGTATTTAAATGTAACTTTCCAAGTATACAGTTGTTTTCCATTCGTATGATGTGTTTGAGCTTTTGAATTTGGGCCATGGTAAGAGACTTTCCGTTTTGAAATTTCCTTGGGGTTTGGTATTTTTGTTATATTCCTTTTTTCAGAAGATTTTTCTAACACAATTTCATTATTTACGCATATTTTGTTAATATATCAGTAGGATTTTGGGGGAATGAAATTCTCCACATTCATACAAATATGGAATGGGTATGATTGCGTGTCCTAAATATTTGCCTCTTAGGTCGTTCGTGTTTATTTTTTATTTCAAACTTGCTATTATAATTACTTGTATAATTTGTGTTCTACTTCATATAGTGTGAATTATCGTGAAGTTCAATGGCGGTATGATTTACGCTTTATTCATATATAAATGTAACCACTTTTTAATTCTAAATAGTAGAATCTTATTCTAAATTTTAAAACTGCAGTCAATGAAATGAAAAAAAAACATTTTGAACAATTAATAAGTTTTACTTACTTTCAAATGTCTTTGGAAACATATGTTTGTAACGTGTCACAATTAAATCTATACTTTTGTTTCTATAATACTCTTTTATATCTGAAAATATATATTTGTCCTTTAATTTTAATTATGCAATCTATTAACAATTATTTGTTAGCTGCAAACGAAACATTATTACGTTTTTTAAACATTCTATTGTAATGCGGAATGAATAATGTGTGTGTCAGGTATATTTTTTTTTGAACACACAACCAATACAAGATGTCTGATGACAAACAAACAAAGATATATACATTCTCTAGTTTGAAGGAAATAATCTAAGAAGACTAAACATGATCTTGCATAGGTATAATGGTTAAATATATATGATTTCGAGAAATTCTTCACATACGTGAAATCCGTGGTTCAAATCCTTCGTCCCTTGCCATCATAAATAGAACAGAATCCACATGAGGTGCTTTGCATGTGAACAGTTTGTCTGGACTGTCTGTTAGATATTCTCCATCAACCACAGACTTGAATACATCCTGGAATTACACACACAACAGATACAAATTTGAGTTGATCGAAATGAGTATTATCCTATCTCATCTGTCATGCAAACACAAACTTAAATAATGTCTCAAAATTCAAAAATAGCAGGAAAAGTTCATAACTTTGGAATATCACATCCGTTTACCGGCACAAGAATGGTGCAGATGCTAATTAGAGACAGGCAATGAACATTTAGCTACCATCTTTATTTTGTTTGGACAAACGAAACGTAATGAGATCATAGTCAGTGATTGGTGAAAAATATTTTTTGTTAGGAAAAGGAGACTTGAATATGGAATAAAATCGTAACCAGGTAAAGATATTTTTAATCTTTGTTTATATCCAAATGTTTTTGTAATTTTTTGGTGGTGTTGTTAGGGGTCCATTAAAATATCCGGATAATGGCAGATCTTAGGTAGCCTTTGTTAAATATATTGACAAATGTGTTGACTCTGACTGATTGAGCGTTTGACATACATGTATGGGTTAAAGACTTGTCATTTGAAAACTCTATGCTATCTCAGAGATGGCTTTACTGGTGTGAGTGTTGCACTGTTTTAATAAAGTTGAGGTATACTCTATTTTGATTTTGTTACGTTTATGGACTTCCTCATTTTTTAATTTTTTCTTGGAGTTTTATATTTTTATGAAAGTTGTTCTGAAAATAAATGACTATTCTTTCTTGCATGAAGACTAATCTAAATGTCTCATTGTCAAAACAAGCAAAGAATAAAGTCAAGTATAGCAACAAAACGAAAGGCAGTCTGAACGATAACGGTATCAAATCGCGATTGTGACAACGGCTTCCAAAATGGCAGAAAACAATTTAGGCATGATTTGTAGTGAAATGAAAATAACATTTTATAAAAGGATGAAAAATGGAAATCGACAAAAAACATAAACTGTGATGTAGAAAAAGTTTGAAAAGAACTTCGCTTAAATGAAAATGAACATTGGATTTTATCCTCTTCGCGCTGTTGAACTGTACCTGTCCATAAATGATCGAAGAGAAGAAATCATTGATGGTTGAACCAGCAACAAGATTTGCAATATGACCTTCAACTTCTTGATTGGCAGGGCTGGTATCTGGTTTACAGTTTGTAGGAATGTTAGTTCGTCTACTGGTTTTTACACAAGCAGACATCATCCAATGGGCTAGTGGTGAACCACTGTGAATTATTGCATATCTAAAAAGACCTGTCAAATATAGAAAAAAATTCAAAAAGGATATTCCAGTTAAGGCCTGGTTTTAAAAGTTATAATGAACCAAAGGCGCCAAGGAGCCTGGAACACTCACCTGGATTACTTTTGTTGAAAGGTAATATATATAACAATTATAACGAGGGATCTAATCACCAATTCTGTAGAGTTTTTAAGCATTTCCCTTATGAATTTTGGCCAGTCAAAATCAATGATTGCTTCTGATCGTTTTGCCTTTCGTGCGATCGGAACCAAATGTGACTAGATCTTAGAAGTCAAGTTCAATTTATTTAGACCTAGTGCTTTAAACGAAAATTATAGAATTGTTTTTTTTTTTTCTATAGAGTTTCTACGAAGGGAACTATGATTCATTATTACCTTCAATGTTGCCAAAATAATTCCCGATTGGTCTCTAAATCATCAATCGTATAAAATTTCAAAACAGCTCCCTTTGTTCATAGAAAACGATTTTTTTTAAATCAGAATCATAATCAAAAGATTACCCCTGGTGGCCATGTTTTGGAGCCGAATGATGATCCAGTAGGATCCGTTCTGACCTTTCTTAAAGTTTGTCAAGACAACTATTCTATAAAAGTCCTCCTGACAATAACCAAGAAGAGTTTTGTACAGGTCTACCCCATAACTGATTATCGCAGTTTTTATTTATTTATTAATTTATTTATTTATTTATATATATTTATTTATTTATTTCTTTAATTCCTTTTTTCTTTAATCGTTTAATTTCTTTTTTTTTCGATTTATCTTTATTATTACAAACAAAATATTCTTGGATATTGTTGTTCGTTTTCACGATTAATTGTTTGAATTGTTGTTCTTGTTTTTAGCTTGACGAATTTGTGTTATTACCCGTACCAATATTTACATAAAAATACTAAACCACATATGTAACATTACATAAGATTCAGGTAAACTCGGGGTATAAAATCATTTCCCTTGAAAATGATATGGTCATGACACTGTGTATTTCAAATATATTCCCAAATGAGATCCTTGACTTGTATAATTGTATTTCTATAAGTAATATGTTACTAGTATTTTTAATAATAATTAAAAAAATAGTACAAAAATATTTCTTCACTGCTTTAATTTTATATTTAGATTATTGATTAGAAACTTAGAATAAACTTTGAGAGCTAACAGAACTTGTAATACTGTAATGTTTTTACTAGTCAATCCTTTTTTCGAAAGCATTTTAAGTAAAAGTAAAAGTCCAGTTACTTACAAACAAATAATAATTTCTGTTTTTGTTGAATTTGTTGGGGTTTTTTTTTGGGGAACATTGAAATTTGCAATTTTGATGAATTCTTTTAAATATACCATATCATTTCGAATCATTACATATAGTGCTTACCAAACATCGGTATACCAAATTAAAATTTAGAGAATGCACAAACCAAACCTCTTTTTCGTGATATTTTTGGTCAAAAATTTCCAGAACATATGAACATCTACTACTTATATATTATATCAATAACATCCTAAACAGGTAACAGCAGAGTATTTTAATATTTTTCAGGATCGGGTTTTATTCAAGTTGACATCCTATACATCATATAGATGTTGATACCGTCTCATTTTTTTATGATAACTGATAGTTTACCATGATAACATTTAAGATGTAATTTTGCAGCTTACCATTAGTGAGATTAGACATGAGATGCAGACCTACATCTCCTGCTCCAGCACTATGTCCATGTATTGTCACTTTGGACGGATCACCATTGAAGAACTCTATATTTTCTTTAACCCAATTCATTGCCTTCACTTGATCCATTAATCCATTGTTACCTTTAATGTTCTGTTCGGGATTGGCATAAAATCCTGTACAAAAGAAGATTTTGCTTGGTTTCGAAGTAAATAATATAAACAAATGTTACTATATGAATTTCAAGCAATAATCAATTATGAGATTTTGGTATTTTGTTAAAAAAAATTGCCTTTTAAAGTGAAAAGGTGTCACTCACAAACTATTTAATATCATTATGCTAACTTCTAATTATTTACTGGTGTATGAATCCTATATAATTAGTATTAATTTTCTGTAACTGTTTGATTAATTTCATACGCAGTATACTTAAATCTATAACTTGACTGACTATGATGAGTAAAAAAAAGTAATTGTAACAGCAACTTTAAGAAAAATAAACATTAGTAACTGGTCTATGTTAAGAGATTATGCACCTAAGACGCCAACCCTGTAATTGATTGTGATAACTATCATCTGTCCATGTGCTGCTAATATGTCACCATCAAACATGGCGCCCATTCCATCAGCGTTGTCTCCTCCGTGGATAAAGAAATGCACAGGGAGATTAGATTTGTCAACCTAAAATAGAAAAATCATTTCATTTAATGCATGTCATTTTGAAATATTGTTAGAAAATGCTAAGAAATAGTGATGTATTGTATTTTTCTATTGCAGATAAAAAGTATATTTTCTTGAGGAAACTACATTTGTAACATCTTTCTTTTTAATTGTTTGGAATTGGGCTTGAACTAGCTTTCACTAATTGTCAGTACTTAAACTTGTACTTTGTGCCTTTTACCTTTTTTTTTATTTCTGATACAGATCTGATTAGGTATGCCCTTTCCAACTGATTTTACAGTTTGTGATATGTTGTGTTGTTAAATCATTCTCCAAGGTAAGAGGACATTTTAAACCCCCACGAACTTGTTTAATCCCGCCATTCTTTATGTGCCCGTCTAGGAACATGTAATCCTGTTGTCTCAGTTCGTTTCAGTTGGTCATATAGTTATTTTCATCATCCAAGTATAAATCAGGAATTCTTTTTTGAAATGAATAACGTTGTGTGATACTAGGAACCAGTTGGGATTCTCTTTTGAAATGAATAACGTTTTTTGATACCAGGAACCAGTTGGAATTCTTTTTTAAAATGAATAACGTTTTGTGATATCAGGAACCAGTTGGAATTCTCTTTTGAAATGAATAACGTTTTGTGATACCAGGAACCAGTTGGAATTCCCTTTTGAAATTAATAACGTTTTGTGATACCAGGAACCAGTTGGAATTCTCTTTTGAAATGAATAACGTTTTGTGATACCAGGAACCAGTTGGAATTCCTTTTTGAAATGAATAACGTTTTGTGATACCAGGAACCAGTTGGAATTCTCTTTTGAAATGAATAACGTTTTGTGATACCAGGAACGCCAAGGGTTGTATAGAAAAATGGTCATCTATTGACTTCTCTTGTTTGACAGTAAAAGCTTTGTTAAAGTTGCGCGTCCGTTTGGCTGTGTGAGTGAATCATAACTTCACGGCAACGTCTTGTTAAAATGGGTACACAAACCCGATGCCCCGTATAGGTGTGGTGCCACCCTTAAAGAACCAGTGAAAAGTTCTGAAGGTAAATTCTTGCAAAGCAACATGTTTGCCCCGTCGAATATGCCAATACTAGTTCAATTTCCCGACTTTCATCTCAGTCGACCTACCTTTCTTATATACCTATATGGCGATATTTCCTTTTGGAACGATAGGTCATTCTTTTGAAGAAACAACCCGGACGATACCAAGGTTCAATTAAAAGTGCTTCAGAGCATTTAATAATGACATATGTCAGGTTATTATTTATCCAGATTATAATGCAAACCACAGTTTGTTAAACATCATTTGATAGTTATCGTGATTTGTTGGCAATTGGGGGTTTTCTATACCATTTTATATCTGAAATATTCCTTACATGGTCTTTAACGTAAAATGGGATACAATTTCCCGCAAAAATTTTGCAGAAAATAATAATACTTTTTGACGGTATATAAGTCCTCATTTAAACGTTTCTGACACTCCTCTGTGTGTTATATGACAAGAAAAAACCCTTAAAATGTGCGTTATTTATAACAGACCTTACCTATTGCATAAATAGTTAATTTGACAAAATGTTCGCGTCTTGAAATGAATGCCACTGGACGTTAAGCATGCACATATCAATCGTACAAATAGGAATGGACTATTCAAACCTAAGAGTTGATTTCCGTTTATCGTTTAACTCCTTTTATATTTCATGTTCAAATCACTTTTATTTTATTTTATTTTATGGTCTTCTGTGCACATAACGCCTTTCTCCAGTTTTCCTCTTTTCGGTTTTCATTATATGTAGTCGGATGGAAAATGTATATCATCAAAAGCGAATTCGTAATTTCACTGTTTCTGAAAATATGCATTTTATTTCAGCTCAGGAACCCCTTACTTCAAAGTATTAGGCTTACTTGTTATTGGTGATCACATAAACTAATGTTTTAGGGTTCCCTGACCTTCGAGCTATGTCGTAGCTGTTAACAAATATTAGTATTCCAGAACAGTGGTCATATATATTTCTTATTTCTTATTTCTAGTGACTGTATAATGAATTGAATCATTATCCCATACGGTATATAAAAATTGTTGAGTTAGATTGCTGACAAATAACAAATACATTGTGTATTAAATAATTATATAACATCTTCACACGCTTAAAACACATGTCTTATGTCTATCTCTAGATTCGCCTTACGTGACAAGGTAACACTACGACTATTGAAGTTATATTTTTATATAGCGGATGTGGTCGTGTGGTCTAGAGCGCTGGACATGAGGCTAAGCGATTGGTGCTGTAGTGTATCAAAGGTGTGAGTTCGAATCCCGTTGAGGGACAAAAATTTGTCAGCATAAAATTCTAATTCTAACACTGTTGGGTGTAATTTTCAGACTAGGGTGAGGCATTGTGTTTTCCGGTATGTGCTTCCGTCCGATCGTCCGTTTGTCCATCCGTCCTGTATCAGGTTAAAATTTTGGTTTTCGAGGTTGTTTACTGTGAAGTTCTCGTCTAATTATTTTGAAACTTGTTTTTTTATGAATTATTTCAAAGCTCAATATGAAGCCGATAATGTCGTTATTTGACTTCAATTTGTTTGTGCTTTAAGCAATTAAAGCTGGCTTGTTCTTATTTGTATTTGTATTTTTTTCAAATCAACAAAATCACAAAATATGAGCATTATTAAAATGTTGATAAAAAAACTCTCATTTTCCTTTTAGAGGCGCGAAGGGGGCTAAGAAAGGATTTTCCCTCTCGGACATATGAAGAAGACGTTTGCTTCTATTTCTATATCCTTCATTCAAATTAAGGTGTTCAGGTTAAGAGTTTTTGAAGGTTTAAATGTAGTTGAAACACGTGGGTTGAAATCAAAACAGATGTTCTGAAGTATATGTTAAAATAATAAGTTCGTTATCCCAATCATTCGACGATTTGTAGCATATAACTTTAGATGAATCAAAATATTAGTATCTAATCAACGGTAGATGCTGGTTTACGCAGACATAGCTGATTTAATTGTCTAAATGTAGCCTATTAAAAGGATTTTTATCTGTTAGTGTAGCTTTTAACAATACTGATATAAATGTTTCACGCGTATACGTTTCAAAATATATGTTTGAACTGTGCATTTAATTTAGAGTAATTAAATATCTTTTTTATAATTATATACTGTAAACAACAATAAATGATAATAAATGGTCATATTACTGAACCAGTGCACGTAATTGTTTATATTATAGACTATCCTTACCTTAGGCACGTAAACATTCATATACAAACAATCTTCGCTCGTCATGTTGAATGTTGGTTTGTGAACCTGAATGTATTTTAAATTACATGTTGGGCATGCTGGCTGAATTTTCTTCGTGTCTAGAATATTTGGCCACCATTTAATAGGGTCTTCTGGTCTCTGTAAAACAGGTTCATGTGAAATGACTTTAAACTGGTTCATTTTTAGCTCACCTAGGTAAGCTTTTCTCATCACTTGGCGTCCGCCGTCCGTTGTCGTCGTCCGTTAGCTTTTACAAAAATCTTCTCCTCTGAAACTACTGGACCAAATATAACCAAACTTGGCCACAATCATCATTGGAGTATCTAGTTTTAAAAATCTTGAAAATTTGAAAATCTGACAGAGCAGAAATGTTCAACATGTTGAGCTCTACCAATGGTCCAATAGGTCAAAACTGTCAGACGACTTCTTATAGGTGTTATTGTCCTTAAATGACAAATTTTATCTTTTTTTTTCAATTTTGCCTATTATCTCAAAAACTATAATAGATAAAAAGAAACATGATCAGCAAGTCAAGTTCTACAAATAAATCAAATGGTCGAAATCGTCAGCCGACTCCTTATTAGAGTTATTGCCCCTTGATGACAATTTTTACCAATTGTTTTTGCGTTTTTGCCTTATATCTTAAAAAATATAATAGATAGATAGAAACTGAAATAAGCATAAAGATCAGCAAGACAAGACCTACAATTAAGACAATGGAGGAAATTTTTCTCATTATTGGAGTTATTGCCCTTTAATGACGACTTTTTTCATTTTGTTTGTTTGTTTTTGTTTTGCCTTATCTGATAAATATTATGATGGATAAATAGACACTTTAAATCATAAAAATGATCAGCAAGGCAAGATCTACTAACAATTCAAATTTTGCCGATATAGTTAGTAGACTGTCACTCTTTATAGGAGTGATTGCCCTTAAATGAGGATTTTTTACCCTTTTTTGTTTTGTGTTTTAAGCAAAAACTAAGGAAGATAAAGAGAAACTAAACAGACTAAAAAATTAGCAAAACAAGATCAACAAAACAGAGATTTTTGTCATGAATTCTATTCTCGTCTACAATATTGGAGGGTGTCCTTTGTTGAATATGCACATAGACCAAAGTGAGCGACACAGGCTCTTTAGAGCTCCTAGTTTTTTTTTGTTTTTTTTTTTCATTTGTGTAATATTTTGCAACAAAAATAATTAGTTTTATTTATGATTTAACATTTATACATGTAGAAGGACTTAAAAGTAGTTGATCTCTCGTCATGTAGTTTAACCTTTTATTGAAGACACATTCTTGGCTCTATGTTATGATACCCATCTATTGTCAGGTTGAGAACGTGTAATACGTTTTGAAACAGAACGTCATTAGATAAATCAAAACAAACTATTCGACACGTTTCAATGGTATTTCTAGTTCTTCTACTATTCAGAAAAGTTACGACTATTCATGGTTCTCGAAATTTTTTATGAAATATGGCCGTTTGAAGTAAAGACTTGAAAAGTTCATCTCTCAGCAAATTAATTCAAATTGTAAATCATTGTCTTGCATGGATGATTTCATGACAATTTTGAAAATATATTAATAGAACGAAAGTTGTTTGCACTTGTTGATAGGACCAATTATATTCACAAATCCTTAAATTTCCCAACTTTTGAACTTTTTTGCAGAAGAAAGATAAATAATAATAAAGATAAAACGTGTGTTGTAAGAGTGCAACATAACAGCTTTCTTACCTTAAAACGAAGTTTTCCTATCGGTGGAGCTGCATACGGAACTCCTAAGTATTCCTCAACGTCAGTTCCTAAAACTCGTGATGATATAAAACCCCGTACTTCTCCATACATTGTGTGTCGGACATTAGAATTAAGTAAGGCGGAAAAAATCGGATTAACTAATGTAAATATACAAAACAGTTTCATCTTTCCAGTACAAATCTAGTATGCCTGTTTTCATCGAGATATGTGTACTATTTATAACCTTTATGATAGTTTTCTCACGATATGGGAAAATAATTAACAGAAATTCATCTGTTATTTGCGATTGATTTAAGTTAAATTGTTGTCTGATTATTTAATGCGACCCTTAACAGATTTATTTATTTGGCGAACATACATCTAGAGGTATTAATCATGCACATAAAAATTTGTAATCATAGAGATAGTTTTCAAATGATTTAAAAATTGTCTCGGTTCAACATAGCTTTTACTTGCATTTTCATAGTTAACAAAATACATTTACATATGTTGTAAATATAATGATAAGGATATGATATATGAATGCCAATGACACAACTATATATTCATGTACAAAACGACAATGACGTGAATAATTCCAGTATCATAATTTTATACTTTATTTATTACACCAAGATGTCGTTAAATAAAATTGGATAGACAAAAGAGGTCAATAATTGTAATTTATCTTAATATGGGCAATTACTCCTTAAAAGAGTCAACTGTTGTTTCGTCTTTATAGACATAAAGAGATGTGGTTTGCTTGCTAATGAGACAACTACCCAACAGTAGACATAACGTTGACGTAAGAAACCATTTGCATTTTTGGAGATTGTCGATACTTTTTCTGCTGATCATTTTTTTGCAGTGGTTGTTTATGATCTATTATAGTTTTCAAGATACTAATAAAAATGCTAAAATTGGTCAAAATCGTCATTTATGGACAAAGAACTATAAGAAATCGTCTATTGATTTTGTTAGTAATGGATGATAGGTATAATTTGACTATTCTTAATATTTTTACCTGTGCAAATAAAAATATATGATCATTATGGCTTTCATGAAATAAGACAACTACTTGTTGAATCCTTATGTTTAATTAATACCATGGCGCCATGTTGGTTGGTGGACTAAAATCTAATTCACAAACTGTAATATAGTTCAAATATACCTTTTTTGGTTTAAATTGGTTCAATGGCTTCAGAAAAAGGATATATTTGAAAATGTTTACGGACGACTGATGGTAGACTACTCTGTAATAGCGTTGTAGCAGCAACATGGATAAGATTTAAGAAAGCTGACAAAAACGCTAACAAGGTGTGCGAGTGTTCCCTTGGTCTTCTAGACAGATAAGCAATGAGAAGATATGCCATTTTTATTTTCTTGTCCCTCATTTTTAGCTCACCTGCCCCAAAAGGCCAAGTGAGCTTTTCTCATCACTTGGCGTCCGCCGTCCGTCGTCCGCCTTCCTGCGTCCTGCGTCCGTCGTCCGTAAACTTTTACAAAAACCTTCTCCTCTGAAACTACTGGGCCAAATTTGACCAAACTTGGCCACAATCGTCATTGGGGTATCTAGTTTAAAAAATTAGTCCGGTGACCCGGCCAACCAACCAAGATGTTCGCCATGGCTCAATTGTTTATCAGGTCAATATCTATCTGCCCTGAAATTATCAGATGAATCTGACAACCCGTTGTTGGGTTGCTGCCCCTGAATTGGTAATTTTAAGGAAATTTTGCCGTTTTTGGTTATTATCTAGAATATTATTATAGATAGAGATAAACTGTAAACAGCAATAATGTTCAGCAAAGTAAGTTCTACAAATAAGTTAACTTGACCAAATTGGTCAGTTGACCCCTTAAGGAGTTATTGCCCTTCATAGTCAATTTTTAACCATTTTTCGTAAATTTTTGTAATCTTTTACAAAAATCTTCTCCTCTGAAACTACTAAGACAAATTTAACCAAACTTGTCCACAATCATCATTAAAAATGTGTCCGATGACCCCGCCCGCGAACCAAGATGGCCGACATGGCTAAAAAATAGTACATAGGGTAAAATGCAGTTTTTGGCTCATATCTCTGAAACCAAAGCATTTAGAGCAAATCTGACAGGATAAAATTGTTCATTAGGTCAAGATCTATCTGCCCTGAAATTATCAGACCAATCAGACAACACGTTGTTGGGTTACTGCCCCTGAATTGGTAATTTTAAGAAAATTTTGCAGCTTTTGGTTATTATCTTGAACATTATTATAGATAGAGATAAACTGTAAACAGCAATAATGTACAGCAAAGTAAGATCTACAAATAAGTCAACATGACCAAAATTGTCAATTGACCCCTTAAGGTGTTATTGCCCTTTTTAGTCAATTTTTTACAATTTTCATAAATTTTGTAAATTTTTGTAAATTTTTACAAAGTATTTTTCACTGTAACTACTAGGCCAAGTTCATTATAGATAGAGATAATTGTAAGCAGCAAGAATGTTCAGTAAAGTAAGATCTACAAACACATCACCATCACCAAAACACAATTTTTTCATGAATCCATCTGTGTCCTTTGTTTAATATGCACATAGACCAAGGTGAGCGACACAGGCTCTTTATAGCCTCTAGTTTATTGTTGTAAAATTAAGGGGTGAAATTTTGCAGTGAAAAGTAATTAGAATTTGGAATAAATTTCGAGAAGTCTCCTTTTTGTTGCACTCAGTTGTTTCGTTTTTTTTTTTCCACTAATAACTTAAGGTGATATTTTGAAGGAAAGGTTAAGATTACATATACTTTACCATTTTAATAACGCAACATACATATGTGGTTGTCTTACTTCGATTCATTTTGATGGTTTGTTGATGCATTAAACAATCGTTTAATCTATCCATCATAAGTTTTATCAGTTGAATTTTGCCATTGGTTTTCATATCATCGGTCGATCACTTATTCATATTACCAGTTAATTGATTCATCAAATTGTATATCAGTTCTGCACAAGTAATTAAAATGATCTGCCTAATGTTATTTTTCATTCAAGATATACCTGACAGTTTACTTATTGTTGTCGAATACTGTACTTTGCTACCAAGAGTTCCCTGCAAATATTTTCTATGTTGATTGAGTGAGATCTGTTTTTTAACTAAGATTTCGTCAAATGATATTTGGAATTTTCAATGATAAAAGATATGCAACAAAGATGCGTTTCAATCAACTAAGTATGACATTAAAGGATTTCATAATGTATCTATCGTTATCACCTAAATACACACAGTCATTTTCCTGGCATACGAAAACCAAATACATTAATTAGACCATCATAGTTGTCCAATATAGATGGACTAATTAAATTATGTGACTCGGGTGCAGAAAATAAGAAAATATGTTAATGCAATAACGGTCTTAAATGAGAATTTATTGTAAATGAAATTAGCCTTCGTACAGGTGAATAACAACCCGTTCCTAATCATTTCGTTTCTTCAAGTTGAATTTACACCGGAAATACATACCGATTTTCAGAGAGGTTTTGATTGGTGATCAACGTTACTACCTTGTATTTTCACTTCATTTCACAAGAAGAGTGGAATGGGTATCAAATATATTTTCTGATGGTGAATGGACACTATCATATATCGGATTGTTTTATTTTCTGATGGTGAATGGACACTATCATATATCGGATTGTTTTATTTTCTGATGGTAAATGGACACTATCATATATCGGATTGTTTTATTTTCTGATGGTGAATGGACACTATCATATATCGGATTGTTTTATTTTCTGATGGTGAATGGACACTATCATATATCGGATTGTTCTATTTTCTGATGGTGAATGGACACTATCATATATCAGATTGTTTTATTTTCTGATGGTGAATGGACACTATCATATATCGGATTGTTTTATTTTCTGATGGTGAATGGACACTATCATATATCGGATTGTTTTATTTTCTGATGGTGAATGGACACTATCATATATCGGATTGTTCTATTTTCTGATGGTGAATGGACACTATCATATATCAGATTGTTTTATTTTCTGATGGTGAATGGACACTATCATATATCGGATTGTTTTATTTTCTGATGGTGAATGGACACTATCATATATCGGATTGTTTTATTTTCTGATGGTGAATGGACACTATCATATATCGGATTGTTTTATTTTCTGATGGTGAATGGACACTATCATATATCGGATTGTTTTATTTTCTGATGGTGAATGGACACTATCATATATCGGATTGTTTTATTTTTAACTTGATCGTCTGAAATTAAAGCTGCAAATACACATTTATTTAAAAAAATAGTATTTTGATTAATTTCTTGTAACTAAGGATCCGTATAGTTCCTAGGATTGTTTTGGTAATGTGGAAACGGTCTGCAAATTTTTACATAGAACCAAAAGCTACGTTTCCACAGTTAAGTTGTTTTGATCATGGAACTCCTAACCCCCCACCTTTATGATTTTCTGTATTGTCAAATTTTTTGTTATATCAATTTGTTCTCTTCTATTTAACATGTTATATCTCGTACCCTGGTTAGTCAATTGCCTATGCAAGATGTTCATACAGTGCTCGTGTAAAGATCTTTTTCGGAAGTGTACTCTTTCCGTTTGAAATAAACGCAATAGAGTAAAATAACATGCCTGCTAATTACTTTTTTTGGCTACTTAATACTCAACGACACAGTAGAAAATTATATTTGAATATTTATTTGTCCAACAACATCAAGAAGGAAACATATTATAAACATGCACATGTTTTACGTTATTGCATGGTAGTATTTTATTCATTAATTAAGCACAGCTAAATTTAATATCAGATTGATCAAACGAAATAATAAAACAGTTACAACTTGCTTAATTTCAGCATAAAGCTTCTTCGTTTGTTCTTAGCTGCATTGCTACATGTCTGAATACAGACATTGGTACAAAGTAAAATAACAAATAAACCGAACTCCAAGGAAAATTCAAATCGCAAAGTCCCTTATCAAATGGCAAAATCAAAACCTCAAACACATCAAACGAATTGAAAACAACTGTCATATTCCTGAATTGGTACAGGCATTTCTTTATGTAGAAAATGGTGGATTAAACCTGGTTTTATAGCTAGCTAACCCTCTCACTTGTATACTGACAACAATGTGTGAGCAAAACAAGCAGACACAATAGGTAAAATTGTCAAAAATAGGGGTACAACAGTCAACACTGTGTTATAATCTTAATCACTATACAAACAAACAAATATGTTAACAAAGAAAAACAAAATGGCATATAGACAAAGCACATAAGCAAAAACGAAAGACAAGAATACAAAAAATGACCACAGCACAACAACACAATGGCGGGATGCATAAGTACCGAGCCACGCCAAAAGGATATTACCAAAAATGGACTAAACAGTGCAGGTTAATACTTTACAAAGACAAATAAAAGAACACTATAACAGGTAATAAAGACGATAAGCAACGTCAGTACCTACAACGGATAATGAGTAATTAAATTAGTAGAGTTGAAGTTTATCCTTCTATTCTTTTTCTTGCCATCCCTTTTTCCTATATTACATTGTCAATTTGCCTTCAACATGTAAAGTTGAACGGAAATAAATATTTGTACCAAAAATCTGTTCTTGGTTGTTTATAATTGACTTCTTGTGTAACAACTGTTTGACCATTGACATAATCCAGTTTATTGTACGATTTCGTGTCAGGATTGTAGATTTCTAACTCCATATTATCCGATTTCCAGTGTCTAAAATAATTAAAAGGATTTCAATTTTCGATATATTTATGAACATACATGATAAGATAACAATACATTTTCAGTGACAGGATAAGCCATAATTTGGCAATTGAAATTGCAAAAACTATTAAATGTCTTCAGCATTTCATGTTTTTTGTTGATTTTAATGATAAGTGAATTGTGAATTAGGGAGATATGAAATTTGAGGTGTCACTATTTTGTCATAAACATAGTCTTTGGTAAAATTTGATATTACCAACGGCCTTTCTCTAACAGATATTATTACTCTAATCAGCATCTCTTTTATATGTAGTACAATAAAGAAAAATTGTGTAACTAAAAAGCAGTTGCTTATATATATATATATATTAATAACAAGCTACATGGTTTGAGTTTTGTTCATTGTTGAATGTACGAAGACCTATAGTTGCTTACTTCCATTGCACTTGGTCTTTGGTGGATAGTTGTCTCATTGGCAATCATTCCGCATCTCCTTTTTTTTTTTATTATTCTGAAGGTTATTTCAGATAATGGTGCAGTATCATGCATTTTTCGCACAAAGGTTTTTGTGACGACACAAGACAACGATTATAAAATGCAGCTAATAAACTCAAAACGTACTGTGAGGTTTTATAAATTAATAAAAACCGACATCAATATCATGATGGTCCTTTGAAATAATCTTGTACATTAAGGAGGACGAAACACACAAAGAAAACGAACAAATACAAAAAAAACTATTTTTTATTTGGCGGTTAAGTACTTTCGCGAAACAAAATCATCTCACTAATTCACGAGCAGAGATGAAAAACAAGGTTAACAACTAGAAAGATGCACATACTATTAAATGATGACAATAAACGATAATATCAAACGGTATGGGTGTAAAAATATTACCTCTATCACATTATTTTCTTATACTCGAGTATGTATTATACTTCGCTGTAAAGTTTTGATATGTTGAACTAATTTTACGTTTACCTACCCTCTTTTAACAAATTCACCAATAATGTTCATGGTCGTTTTGGAAACGTTGGCATCACGTGACGTATAGGAAAACATTGGATGGCCAACTGTTGGAATTCCAAAAACATAAAATAAGTCCCACCCATGCTGGACTCCTGTGGAAACATAAAATGAATATACTTTGTAACATAGTTAGCTATTATAGTTGTTCGACTGGTGTCACCATTAAACGAAATAAAGTGTTATTCACTATTATGAAACGAAAACGGTTAAATTAAAATAATTACATCGAGATAATTGTTGTCTCTAGATAATCTAATGCTTTCGTCTGTGTAATGAAGATATACTACATTTGAATGTTGTTTGAAAAGCCGAAAAAGACCTTCATTACCTATCCAGTCAGGTCCAGTTATATTCTGTGAAATATATTCAAAACTCAGAGTATAAACTGTATTCATCCATTGAGAAATTATGTCTGCAAGCTTGACCATTGGCACAAACATATCGATGTCTGCCAACATTTGTATAGCCTGAAATTATAAGAGCATTAAAAATTCTTATGTAAACTGGATAAAATATTATTAATCTGATGCGCCATTTGCATATCTCTTTGTATTTTTTCTTTGTGTTCCAAACAAAACATTGGAAATCATATCATTATCAAACGTTTAAGAGGAATAGTTTATTTTGATGTGGTAGCTGATTTTTAAGCTTATGATAAACCTTGATCTCTTCCACCGGATAAATAAATTCAACACGTATTATTATGTTATTTTATTTTTTTTCAATAATTTAAAATCAACTGACTTTTTCGAGGATACCTCGACACTGTAGTTGATTTGGGGTCATACCACACCTGATTTCTAAGTAACAGCTCACATTTGGTTACTCCACATCTCAGATATACGATATTAGGGGAAATTTGTGTTTAACCTGTGTGTTTATAGTTCGATATTTTGAAATATTGTCGGACAATTCGGCCAATTGAGTCTCAAGAGTAAAACAATTAAGGTCGGCAATGCAGTTTTAGCGCACTTAAAACCCGTCAGATATTCCTTCTGTATAAATAAATCCCCTATAGGTTAAACGGAAACAGTCCGTCTTTAGTTGTTGTCAGGACTTCTGTATGAGCATGGTAGTCTACTATACATATATTTCCATTAAAGGTGCCAGTTATACTGCCCAAACTGTGTATTCATATATTCCGTTGGCAAAAATTGTTCAAGTACCTAATGTTCATACAGATGGAATCGCCTACTCCAACATATGTATATTCCATGGATCTAACATGACCGTGTACTTATACTTTTCAGTAAATTTAACTCAAAGGAAAATTAGTACTTAAAACAAATCAGTAATAAACAGTATTTAACAGTACAAATGGAAAATTGGGGTTTAATTGCACAATAAACGAAAACCTATACAAACACAATAAAAATATATTTGTTTTGCCATGACGAAGAAAACCCCGTATAGTAACTATTAGAAACTGAATACAAAGAGGGCAAACATTCTCGCACAATAACAAGAACTATCAAAAAATAACTAACGTTAACACATGCAAAATAACCTGACTACAAAATGTGACAGTATGAAAAATTATTCCACTGTATGTAAAATTTGATAGCTAAATCAATGTTTGATTGGTTGAGACCATTCCACGTGACACTGAACATATTCCCCTCTGGCCCCGTATTCACAAAATCAAGGTAAGCTTTACGATATCGTAGGTTGTAATTTGTATTCACGAAAGAAACTTACGATGCGATGTGTTGTAAATATTGTAATACACTTACGACTGCTCGAAGCCTGTCGTAACTCGCAATTGTGATCGTAAAAATGGAGGCACCGCTAATAGAAGAGAAAACGAACGATTCATTAGACGAACAAGAGTATATTTGCATAGCTCTTATCCCTATGAAAGGTCGATGATTTCCTATTTATAGATGCAGACTTCCAAGGCATAAAATTGTAATTATGAGTATGTCTCTATTGTGGAAGTACACCTTAAACAGAGAACAACTTGACATAAGCAAATATCGGTATGAAACATTCTTAAACATCCAAGTAGATTTAATGGGGAGCTGAGTATTCCCAACTGAGAGATATCCCGAAACGATATATTTTTCCGTCTTGAATAATTCTCGTACATAAACAAATTGAGATGAGTTCCGGATACAGAAAGGTATCCGAATAAACAATGGCAAGCTCCATGTTTTGAAACCACAGAAATAATTCGGACTAAAAACAATATAAAGGGTGTACAATGGCATTATATGTTAGAGACTCTGAGAGTTACAAATGGGCACTAAGTAAGTGTGACTATAAAAACGGGGGAATAATTATCCGACTACTTTGTTTTGTCGTATAAATGAGCCCATACAGTTGCAAAACTGGAAGATTGATTCTTATTGATAACAGATAAGTAAAATAATGGAAAAATAATAAGTTATCATGAAATAATTATTAGTGCAACAAATATAAATATAAAGAGTACTGGCAACAGGATAAAATCAGAATGTTTATTTTTTTTTTATCTAATTCAAATACTATAACCATAGAATCATAAGATGGGTATAACTGTATTCTTATTTGTTCCTCATATGGTAAATACATTCAGAGTTAAATATTTCATTGGTAAGGCAAGATAATAATAAACTAGAGGCTCTCAAGAGCCTGTGTTGCTCACCTGTATCTACTGTGGTTTTGGAAATCATGAAAAATAAGGTTAAAATCAAAATAAATAGTATTAGATACCCTAATAATGATTGAGGTCAAGTTTGGTTTAATTTGGCCCAGTAGTTAAATCTAAAGCAGGTCATCCCATTGTAGTCTTACAATAGTTACTGGAGACCCATTATCATTATTTAAATTAGTTTTCACGTTGTGACCATTTGAAATTGTTTTTTTGCAATTTTCCCATAGACTTCTATAGTAAACCCCTATGTTCTATTTTTAGCCATGGCGACCATGTTGGTTGGATGACAGGGTCATTGGATACATTCTTTAATCAAGTCATTAGATACACTATTGAAAATTGTGGCTAAGTTTAATTCTATTTGGCCCAGTAGATTAAGTGGAGAAGATTTTTGTAAAAGATTACAAAAATTTACGAAAAATTGTTAAAAATGGACTATAAAGGGCAATTACTCCTTAAGGGGTTAATTGACAATTTTGGTCATTATTGACTTATTTGTAGATCGTACTTTGCTGAACATTATTGCTGTTTACAGTTTATCTCTATCTATGATAATATTTAAGATAATAGCCAATAAAATGCTTTGCCGAGCGCAGCCTGATACGACCGCAGGTGGAACCCTGAACAGTTGGGGCAAGTTTGGACACAATATCCAAGCTTGATACTGTCTGAATTTGGATTGTGATCAAATTTTTGACATAATATAGGTTTTTGACACAAAATGAATGTGGTCAAATATCTTTAAAATTTGAAATGGGACATTTAATTTACCTAGTATGGTCTGATATCCAAAATCTAACAACATGGTTAGATTCAGCGTACAAAAAACACCAATAACTTAATTTTAGTTGAAATCAAACAAAGTTTAATTTTGGACACTTCAAACCTTAATATGGACTAATTTGAAAACAGGGCCCAAAATAACAAATATAAATGAACAATAAGATTCAGCATATCTTAGAGCCGCAATAATTAATAAATACAAGGTTAGAACCCCCAAAAATTAAAGACTTTTAAATTAATCCCATTGAAATTGGTTAAAAGATTTGTATTCATTTTCAATTGAAGATTTCTTGCTATTGCTCAGCACTGTGCTTTTGTGCAATATTATACTGTGCAATTGGAGAATTTCTTGCTATTGCGCAATACTGTGCAATTGAAGATTTCTTTCTATTGCGCACTACTGTGTTATTGCGCAATGCTGTGCTAATGCGCAGTACTGTGCAATCGAAGATTTCTTGCTATTGCGGAATACTGTGCTGTTCCGCAATACTGTGCTATTGTGCAATACTGTGTTATTGCGCAATACTGTGCTATTGTGCAATACTGTGCTATTGAAGATATCTTGCTATTGCGCAATACTGTGCAATTGAAGATTACTTGCTATTGCGCAATACTGTGCTGTTGCACAATACTTAGTTAATCTTTTATATATAATAATTTACACACCCTGTTTGGTGTGTATCTCCTGCCATATCAGAATTTGTTGCTTTTATAAATCAGAAATAATCAATGTAAAATTGGAAAATATTTAGGGAGAAAAAACAAAACAAATATGAAAAAAAATCCCCTAAAAAATATTTTTTGAAAAAATTTGAAATTTTGAAAAATCTTGAAGAAAAAAAGTATGATTCCCCCCAAACTTTTTGACCCCCCTCCCTTAGATTTATTATCCCCAAACTCAATCCCAGCCATCCCTTTGTGGTATGGAACCTTGTAGTACAATTTCAGAGAGATCCATACACTTAAACACAAGTTATTGTCTGGAAACTAGATAAATGTTTGTATTTTACCCCTTTTTTGCCCCTAATTCCTGCACGTATAGGGCAATTACCCCCAAAATCAATCCCAACCTTCCTTTTGTAGTATTGAACCTTCTGGTGAAATTTAATAATGATCCATTCAGTTAAACTCAAGTTATTGTTCGGAAACCAAATGTGTCTTCGGACGACAACGACGCCAACACCGCCGCCGCCGCCGTCGCCGCCGACGACGACGACATGATAACATTACACGAACGCAAAAAACATTTTGCAGTCGTATAAAAACTGCAAAATTTCCTTAAAATTACCAATTCAGGGGCAGCAACCCAACAACAGGTTGTCTGATTCGTCTGAAAATCCAGGGCAGATAGTCCGAGTGCATTTAATATGATATATATTGGAAGCGTTTGCATTTACATTCAAATTGGAATTCATATCGGGCACTTGCTGAACAAAATCCTCCTCTGTTACGTAAAATGATTGTTCTGTAGATTTACGACATTAGCAACTGCGAGAAACTTGCAACAGTACTACGACAATGTTGGAGAATACAAATTACGACATGTCTTATGCATGTCGTATATTTACGATAAATAATTACGATACGACATGTTGTATCGTATCTTTAGTATCATATTCCACTCTGAACGTCGGGACTTGCTCGTTCGACGTTACGCGCGTTTACTGTAAGTAACGTTTTGAACGTTTTTAAATTGCGATAGTAAAGTCACTATAGTGTTCAAAATTATTTCAGACGTAAAATCAAAACTTAAATAATAGATAATTATCTTTTGATCAGTACTGTTTATCCATGTTTTAAATTATGTCGTGTTAGTTATGAAACAAGTGGTTAAGAAAATGTATGTAAATTAATGTTTTATGTTCAGGTACTTAGTAGTAAACAAATTATAGGCAGTGGAATAAAACATTCATTTCCCTTGGCTTAGGGAGATATGAAGATTTCTTCACCCTCAAAAAGTCATATTTCCCTCGGGCTGGGCCCTCGAGAAATATGAATTTTATTGGGTGAACAAACCTTCATATCTCCCTCAGGCACGGGAAATAAATGTATAATATACAACATAAACAAATCACATATAAAGTCAGCAGAACATATCACATCTAAGGTCAGTATATTTTTTAACAATTTTTTCATAGAAGTTTCGAAACTTTGGAAATAAAACTTGTATACTAATTCGTCCAAAAGATAACATTGAAAATAAAACAAACAAGGAATATTCATGATAAAATATTAATATCGAAAGAAACAACACAAAAACACAATGAAAAATATTATACGCCGGTAGCGTACATTTTAAAGACATCTCCGTTGATATTTCTAGATAAAATATTCATATAGTTTTCAATATGACAAGTATTGATTTTAAAATACATGATAAATATATAAAATAAAATTATTATATGTTTGTGGTCACTCACTTGAGGGTAACTTGAAATGTTTAATTTCTTCCACTTCTCCAGTTCTTGTTTAATGCTGTCTAAAAAATGAAGTGTTAACCATAACTGGTGATGATATACTTTGTATGATTTCTATTTTTGACCTTTACATACCATTCAACTTTTAGTTTGTATTGAGAACTAACAAAACATTGAACAAGCCAATTAAACTATCAAGTACTGTTTTCTGTAATCAAAAAGAAGTCAATTCATTTTTAAAACCTGAACAGTCTTCTTTCCCTATCCTTTATATTACTAATGTTATGAGGTATCAATGGTTTATATTACTATTGTTATGAGGTAGCAATGGTTTATATTACTATTGTTATGAGGTAAACATGGTTTTTATTAGTATTGTTATGAGAGGTATCAATGGTTTATATTACTATTGTTATGAGGTATCAATGGTTTTTATTAGTATTGTTATGAGAGGTATAAATGGTTTATATTACTATTGTTATGAGGTATCAATGGTTTATATTACTATTGTTTTGAGGTATAAATGGTTTTTATTAGTTTTGTTATGAGAGGTATTAATGGTTTATATTACTATTGTTATGAGGTAAACATGGTTTTTATTAGTATTGTTATGAGAGGTATCAATGGTTTATATTACTATTGTTATGAGGTATCAATGGTTTTTATTAGTATTGTTATGAGAGGTATAAATGGTTTATATTACTACTGTTATGAGGTATCAATGGTTTATATTACTATTGTTTTGAGGTATAAATGGTTTTTATTAGTTTTGTTATGAGAGGTATTAATGGTTTATATTACTATTGTTATGAGAGGTATCAATGGTTTATATTACTATTGTTATGAGGTATCAATGGTTTATAATACTATTATTATGAGGTATCAATGGTTTATATTACTATTGTTATGAGGTATGAATGGTTTAAAAAAGCCTCTTAGAATGCAAAACATTATACAGTAAATAGTTAACAAATAAATCAGAAGGACCAAAAGACAAAGCGCTCACGATTTGACAAACTTATCGAGCATCTTTACACCTCAATATCGACCTCTGCTATGTGCATTTATTATGAATCTGACTTTGTCTAACCTAATTAATTCACAAATACAAATATACTACAAGGGGGGTGTTAAATGGCCTTTATTACCCATGAGGGTCTCGTACGGTCGGTGTACAAATATAGTATAACATTTGTAATTCTAAAGATAGCAGCAGTTTTAGGGGATTTTTTTCTTTAGGAAAGCGCATGGCTCAATCTGATAGAGATATAGTTTAGATTCTTTCTCAGTTTGATTTCGCATTTGGAACCTTATACTAAAGAAGTAATGTCTTCCAATTTATTCACAAATGGTTTTGGAATGTATTTTTTGAAAGCAAAATTCTCCCAAAAGAAGAATATTCTGGAATTATATTATATATACGTCAAACAAATAGATATCTAAAATAACTTTACATTTGTTCATGTTTGGAAGGTTAACGCTTTAAATCTCTGCATATAACGCAATAACGGATTTCGTGGCTTAGAAGCACTTTTACAAAAATTAAGAACTCTCACATACTTGAATATGTTGAGAGCTATATGCCAAAAGGGACATATAATGAAAAGCCGAAAACATCTTTAGTTACATTTTCCTGAGGAAATTGAAACCTTATTTCCTTATAAATTTCTGAATTTATCAACTGAAGAAAAAAGTTGTTATAAATCATACCAGTACCGAAGCACTGACTACTGATCTGATTATACCATCAGTTACTAACAGTCCACCAGCAGCGGTATCGACCAAGTACTAGTAAATGAGAATAATACTGTAAAAAGTTCGTGCTTCCGAATAAAACATATCAGTGTATTTTATGAAGTACTTTTTGGAAAGAGGAATTATGGTATTTTAAGTTCTAAAAATACTTTGACTGGTATTTTTCACAAATATCTTTTATTGTTTTACACTAGTCATTTTGGGACCCTTTATAGCTTGCTGTTGGGTGTGAGCCAAGGCTCCGTGTTGAAGGCCGTACTTTGACCTATAATTGTTTACTCTTTACACATTGTGACTTGGATGGATAGTTGTCTCATTGGCACTCATACCACATCTTCTTATCTATATAAACGTTTAAATTGTCAATATAACGGAAGCTTACAAAATATATACCCCGGCGGTTTTGAAATATTAAACAGTTACCGTCCTTTGATTTTCGTTGTCGTACAAATAGAGTCCCTATTGTGGACAGTGTATAACTTGCATATTTTTTTCATATACCTTTCAAATTTATTTCTTTATATTTATGCAAAAAATAGTAAATAGGGGGATGCAATTACATGTAAAAAGAATTTGGGGCATAAATTTTTAGGTAAAGTAGTGATTTGGTCCAGTTTGAAATGGTCAAAAGTTAGTATGTCTGAAGCTATCAAACTAAATTACAGACCCCTTTAACACAAAATTGTCCATATTTTGAGTTAGAGCCGATAAAGTTTTCTATAATTTTGATATAATTTGTCCCGAAAGTAGTGCACTACACTGTAAAAATATTTTTGGATAGAGCAGGTGCAATTTTTTTTAATTTGCGTTTTTTGTCTTAAAGAAATGCACTAGGAAATAACTGTGTTCTCGGGCCATATTGACGGTTTATATATGCTTGATTAAATGCATATTATTGTTCGTGACATTTCCGTTTAGTATTTCTGTATATGCATATAAATATATTATTTTCATATACGTAAACAATAATATGCAATAAGATAAATTATTCCGGTGTCTATCAAGTATTTATTGTGCGACATTTGTAAATTTGCTTAAAAACTTGTTTGCCTTATATTAGTGTAGTGTGTCCTGAATTAATACCTTGAAATCCAGGTCTGTCTGGAAACAAAGTTAGTGCAACGTATTGAATAATATATTTTATATCCAACCATTTCTTTGTTTCATCATACGCTACAATTATAATTTTTATATACCATTTATGGATATAAAGAGAAGCATAAATTATCAATATCAAAACACGCCTTTTTGTATTTAGTTTTCAGCAAAATATAGCTATTTATTTAATTAACTGGTTAAAACTGTATTGACACAGTTGATGATTCTGTTATTTTATATATCTCCTAAAAACAATATGATAAGTGTTTTGCAATTTTTTTCGTGTTTCTTGTCTAATGTAGGCACAATGTCGTCCTTCGTGTCTTTTCGCACATGACTTATACCCTTCTTAACCATGAGTGTATCTATTTGGGTGTTATATGTGAAGCAGGACCTATTTACACTACCAGAACAGCTGTGTTTGTCATAATTTTATAGTTTAATGTTATCTTTTTCTCTCTATTTTTATTTCTTGATTAAGTTCCTTTAAATGCTTCGAATGGGTATTTCGTAATGTTCTTTGATTCATTATTTAAAAAATAAATATATATTATATATATATATCCATTAACTACAACAAACTTCTTCTCGTCTCTAATTAATAGATCTATTGAATGATTGTAGTATTAAGGTAATGCTGCACTTTTTTATGTAACCATTTTTCTATAGGTTTTCTAAGCATTAATACATCCCTTTATATTATCACTACTATGTCATTACAGTTGGCGTTTGCCTATATTATGTTTAAACCAAGACATTCTAAGAGTGTTACAAAGATATACGAAATTATGAAATTAAGCATCTTTGCATATTCTAGCATACATACTGGACATATCTAAAGGATACCCTTCGTCTCGCGCCATTATAAGCAAAACTGAACCAGCGTGAAATTTTCCACAGGTGAACTTTTTTTCTGGACTCCCTGTGATAAATTCGCCATCAACTACAACAGCCTACACAAAAATATATTAAAAATCGACTGTAGCATTTCCTAAAATATACACTATATTGTTTATCTACATAATTGTTTATGCAACAATTATTTTGTCAACATTTTGTATTATACTTTACTACGACACAATGTGTTTCCTTTTTTTTTATACAAGATAAAAGTTACTTGCTTCTGATAGTGTACAACAATGACGATTTTAAATAATTAGAGTTTATACATACGCGATGGGCATCATGCAAGGTGCCCTTTGTGAACATTGTCTCTTGTAAGATAAGCAATTGTTATGAGATTGTAATTATTATGATAATAATGTTATTGTGTAGTTTAGAAATCACTGGAACAATCGTAGTTACTGATGGAATGATTAGAACTTTCTATTTGACTTGCATAATAATTCTAGAATATAATCTACGATGCGTAATTTAAACTTCTACAATGTTCTAGAAGTTTCCTTTCTACAGTGTTCTAGAAGTTTCCGTGACAACTATATATACAGACACCGAAATTAGACTTATCAGAGACAGAAATATACATGTATTCTTAAAGGATCTCTGGAGTTGTTTATTGGTAAATTCTACAACATCATATATACTAGTTTGTGAACTTATTGAACATAATATTCCGTTTGGATTTCACAACAGTTAGGAGGAGAATTCCGGATAAAGAAAAGACTAGGATCGAACATTCAGATATTTTAACAGTAGAGTTGACATTTCAATTTGTATAATATTTCTTGTAAAATTGTATTATAAATCTTGTTGAATTTATAATTGATTTTTGTCTTTTTTTTTAATACAATTCAAAGCAGATTTCTGGCCGTAGCACACAGTATATAACATATGAAGTAACTGTAGAAAAATAGATTACCAGCAGTTATTACCTGTCTGCCCAATCTTGGTAGGTATTTGTCTATAGAATCCCCATTTAAAAGATCTTTAATATCCTCTTGTTGGTCTTCAGTTATCTGACTGGTACCTGGTTGACAATTGTTCGGGATAACTGACATTCTACTTGTTTTTATACAGCTAGATAACATCCAGTTCGCGATAGCTGAACCACTGTGAATAATTGCATTTCTGAATAAACCTGTGAATTGGATAAATATGTAAATTTCCTATGCAAGCTTCGTGTTGTAGCGAGCTCACTTTGATTTAGCATTTCAAATTGTGATACGTCTTTCATTTCTTTGCTGAAGTTAGTGGTCACGTTGATTGTAGTTTGACTGTGCATATTTTTATTGTGTGTTTTTGATTTAACTACATATGTCTCAGATAGGCAATGGAGAGGTCTGAGCACAAAGTCAACTCATTTCAATATATTTTGCGATATCAACTTGCACCTTATTCATCTCTCTACAGAATATTCACTTTCCGTTTTCTCCGGAAGTATAAATGTTACTATTTTTCGATACCGTATTATATACAGTTCTATATTGTGAGATCGCTCGTTACTTATTGTCTTAAGAAGATGCATGTAGCAATAGCGGAATCTTCGACTGTTTTTCTTTCCGACTGTCATTATGATATTATATCGTTATTTGTTTGTAGTATTAGGATCCTTAATATTAGTATTGAAGTGGTACCGGTACAAGTTTGTAATTATTCCCTAGTTTGTTAGGAAAGTTTCCAAATTATTGTATAAAGATGGACACAAATTTCCCTTCCGCGATCTGGATTAAATTCTTGTATTTGTGAAACCATTTGTATTTTTATAACCAAGTTGCCTCACCAGTTGCTAATGTCCAAAATAAAAGAAAGTAAGCAAAATTGATCTGCTGTCGTTCAAAATTAAAAAAAAGTTCCAGTTGATCATTTCTGTTAAGCTCTCTTGCTGCCTCTAGATCAGTCAAATTCGTAAATATAAATAAATTGGGAAAGTTAGCGACAAGTGTCAGAAGTAAATATGTTCAAGAAGGCAAGGAAATGAAATGTTAATCTTAATATATATGTATTGTAATCAAAGTATAGTTTACATTTATACCATATTCAGATAAAAAGCAAAATATTTGAAAAGCCGGCTACTGTCGATGATACTTTAGATCTCAATGAAGTTCAAAACACAATAAGTATCAAATATATATATATATTTCATCATTAATTGAAATCTTATAAAATGGAACCATAAATTAATTGAATGTACGTAAAAGACGACTAAAATATACTACTGCTGTGAACATTTCCGTTCTAATGATATACAAATATTATGGCGTCCCCCAAGATAGTTTCACCAACCATGCAAAAGTCCAGTACCTACTCTAACATATACAGGATACGTTTTTTATCGAGTTTTGATGGAGACTAGAACCTATCGTACGTTTTTTTATCGAGTTTTGATGGAGACTAGAACCTATCGTACGTTTTATTATCGAGTGAGATGGAGACTAGAACCTATCGTTAAAGTAACGATTGTTTATCGAGTGCGATGGGGACTAGAACCTATCGTTAAAGTAACGTTTTATTATCGAGTGCGATGGAGACTAGAACCTATCGTTAAAGTAACGTTTTTTTATCGAGTTTTGATGGAGACTAGAACCTATCGTTAAAATAACGTTTGTTTATCGAGTGCGATGGGGACTAGAACCTATCGTTAAAGTAACGTTTGTTTATCGAGTGCGATGGGGACTAGAACCTATCGTTAAAGTAACGTTTTATTATCGAGCAAGATGGAGACTAGAACCTATCGTTATAGTAACGTTTTATAACACACCTCAGAATCTTATTTATTCTTCATTTTTCATACAATTATATCTTTCTAGCTTTATTATAATACCTTTCGTTAAATCGGATAACATGTGAAGTCCTGCATTCCCAGCACCAGCACTGTGTCCATATATTGTAACTTTTGACGGATCTCCATTGAAAAACTTAATGTTTCTTTGAACCCATTGCATAGCCAACATTTGATCCATTAGAGCGTTGTTGCCTTTTATTCCATTTTCAGGGGCAGCGTAAAATCCTGTTCATATTGCAATTGGTACAAAATATCTTATGCAATCGAGTTAGCAAAAACAGATAGGGTAGATCTAACCACCATTGTTTAGTATATGTTTGTTTAAAATACATCTCCTGATAACGATATTCTGATTCGAAATGAACAGATTTTTTTAAACAAATTCATGTTGCGGGATTTCAGAAAAATAAATATCAATGTAAATTTTGTTTATTTCTAAAGTAATTCTACAGATGAATTGTCATATTTTGTGTTTAAATCTTCTCACCGTTTGATTTAATAGGGGATCCAATATCTAGTGTCTATAGTTCCACTGATGAGAAATTAATTTTAGAAACGTCCATAATATGCAACAAGTTTTAATCAATTTCGGTATCGGGTAATTTTTACATCGGATGACCGTGAGGGCATTCCGGTGTATTGTTGCCGCAGACATTTCTACCCACGTGACTTTTGTTTTTGACTGATAACCGAACGCAAAATAACATTCCTTATCGCTTGTTATATATCAATTTCATCAATAAATATTCATGAAAATAATTTTTAGGAACATAGATAAATGATATGAAAATGTTTTGTCGTGAGAAATATATATATCTATAACAAATCAAGAATACCGAAAATTGTGTTAACGCATGCGGAAAAATATCTAAAGAACGTTTTGCGGGAAAATATGAATGCCTACTCAAATCCAATCTATTAGAAAAATCAAATTATTACAGAAGAGTGTCCACCATGCACTTGCACTGCACTATTATTAGAATAGTAGAATAGAATGATATACAAATGGATGAAAATCATATATACATGTAACTGTTATATACAAATATTGATATAATATATAACATCAAACCAGAGTATACTGATTTGTATCACCACCATATAATAGTTATTACGGTGAGGTTGAATTCCCTGTCATTTATTAATGATCCACGCACGAACTTGTCTCAGAAAAACAAAAAATCTATGTACCTTAACCTCACTTTCAGGTATAGAGATGTGATTTTTTGTCTGAGACAAGTGCTTGTGACCATCCACAAGAACTTACGGTCGTCCGGTGTTCAGTACTTCCGTACTTTGATTATAAAATTTGTTTACGGTTTATCTGTTGTACTTAAACACTGTGTCTAATCTACCCCGGCAAAAAATGTTTGGACTCGATGGTATCTAATATCCGGCACGGTGACGGAACATCAATAGACAGAGAAAATGTAGTTTTCTGTTTATTTATTTGTTATTTTTATGATATCGAAGAATATATATACATATATAACTATTTTCTATTGTGAGATGTAATATTTTCTACAACCGTTCTAGATTAACAGCGAAATAAGTAAAAATGCAAGTCAAAATGACGAATTGCGTGAACCTTACCTCGAATTTGTTTAATTTCTCCTTAAATTGTTCACATGGTACAGAAAGAAAGGTACGGAAAGAAAGATATTGACATGGAGATTGCAAAACTAGTCACTTTGAGCACCTCAATACTTGTATTTCTGCGTATGGAACGAAAGAAATAGGTCATGTCAAAATGGAAGCACCCGGTTTTGTCAATGTTGTTTACTACACAATGACCCGGTTTTGTCTATGTATAGAACCCGGTTTTGTGTATTTTATGAAAAACAACGTTAACAATGGTACCCTGAAACAAAAAAATAAATTAACAAATGGCTGATCATGTGGGTTTTCAAACCAGATACCTCAATAAAGCTTGTGGCCAAATTTAATTAAATTGTTAAAGAGGAGAAGATTTTTGTTAGATAATTGGTAAAAACGCAAAGAAATGGTAAAAATCGTAATCAAAGGTCAATAATTCTTACAAGGATATCGACCAAGTTGACTTATTCGTATATATTGTCTTGCTGATCATTTTTGCTATATAACTTTTATATATTTCAAGATAGTAGACAGAAATGGAAAAAAGGAGAAATTTGTCATTCAAGGACATTAACTTCTATAAGAATTCGTGTGAGAGTTTTGATGTGAATGGACAAAAGGTAGAGCTCAACATTATGAACATATCAGCCCCTGTTAAATTTTCTCTTTCTATAGCTGTTTTCAAATAATAGACAAAACTTGCATCCCCCTATATTCTATTTAAAAAAAAAATTTAAACAAGATACCCCAATAATGATGAAAAACAGTTAAACATAAGTTCGTTAGACCTTTTAAAACCGACATAAGATTGTGGATAAGGTTTGTTAAATGTATTGTAGCCCAGTAATTTCAGAGGAGAAGATTATGTAAAAAAATAACGGAAGACGATGGACGACGGGGGCCAAGTGATGAAAAAAGCTCACTTTTCCCTTGGGTTCAGGTGAGCTAAAACCAACCAAGAATTCCAAACAAGATTTCACCGTTCTTGAATTAAAAAAAAAGTCTAACATTTCATAATTAAGACTTACACGAACGAAATAAACTAATCAGACATGGAAAAACAATTTCAATTGCGTCAAGTTTTTTTTTAACAAAAATAAATACTACGTATTATTTATACAGGAGTGACTGTACGCACTGACATGTCGCGACTGCTGGAATGATCGTTATCGAAATTATTTTGAAGGTCTGTAAGATAAATAATTTAATAAAAGTATCTCATAAAATTAACATTGTTCATGGAACCATAAAAAAGTCAAGGTCTGATGAAACCTGCCAGACGGACATGAACACATTACAATCATTAAAACCAACCAAAAAAAAAAACTTAACATTTACCAATTAATTAAGAAAATAAGTTCAAGGTTACTTAAATAGTCATGTGCGCCATACGAGCAAATATAGTTGACCTATTAAAGATACGGACTTGAACACGATCACAGATATCAACCATTATCATCTGTTCATTTTGTTAGGAAATCGCTGAACCATGAAAATGAGGTCAAGGGCAATGGACATATGACAGATAGAAACATCGTTACATAAAAGATATGTGTGCGAGGTATGTTGCAGTCAGGCCTTCTAACTTCTGACATATGAAGCTCCATACAAATAGTTCAAGCCGCCACGAATTTGCATCCCTTGGTCTCGCATTCCGACAAATCCAAAATATCAATGTGAATTTTTAGAATAAACATGACAATCCTACTCACATACATCCAATTTCGCGGGTGTCCCTGCTTTCTTATTTCTTATAAAATTTTAAGTTGGTATATTTAGTTTTATAACATCAGTGGCGAATCCAGGCGGCGTATAGGTCACACGACCCCACCCCACCTTTGATGGCCCCAAAAAATAAATCTTTTTTTTTTACGATTTTTTTAGCATAATTCGTCTAAAACATTGTTCGCTTCACTACGCTCTGCGGTATGTAAGCTGTTTGAATTACGCCCACTTTGAAAAAAAACCTGAATCCGTCCCTATATATTGTCAATAATATATTGACCAACGTCAATGTACGATAATCATAACACAATGGAGAGATAACAGAACCGTTTATTTATACAACTATTAATAAACTAATCATTATTGCATTTTCTCGATGGCCTGAGAGACTATTATAATACTAATTTATACTTAGTATTATAGTTACAATTTGGGATAGATAGATTTGATTTTTAATGCATGATTATTGTAATCCTTTTCTCACCATAAACATTCATTTTCTATGGCGATTCTGCAAGCATATATACATTTGTTTGATTATCATGCTTAAAATGAACATTTAGCCTTAAGAAGATTTATTTTAAACGATAATAGGAAATATTGCACCCCTAGGTAGATTGGATAACTTATAAAGATAACCATCCTGTTGTGCAAGAAAATCACATATCAAATGTGCGTCCTTCAATTTTTAAGACCATAAACTCTAGTTTTAAGTTTAAACACTAAAATTTACATATATAATTCATATAAAAAAAACGTATAGAAAGCTTAAAACTCAATTTGCGGTTTAACCTTCATTTCTATCTATTTCGCAGTTAGAGTATTTTTTTTTTTTTTTTGAATGCAAAGCAAAATTATAATTATTTTTGTTCCAATAAAGTAGGAATTCAAGTGTTTACAGATTCAAATAAATAACAGGTTGTCCTCTGTAAGAAATCGTCTTCCAACCAGCCACCAAACTCCTTTTAATTGCTGAAGTTCAATTATGTTATGCGATTATGCATTTTTTTTTCTTTGACAAAACCGGGTTCTGCCTTGTGAAATCTTGGACAAAACCGGGTTGTACACATTGACAAAACCGGGTGCTTTTATTTTGACATGACCCATTTCTTTCGTTCCATACGCAGAAATACAAGTATTGAGGTGCTCAAAGTGACTAGTTTTGCAATCTCCATGTCCATATCTTTCTTTCAGTACCTTTCTTTCCGTACCATGTGAACAATTTAAGGAGAAATTAAACAAATTCGAGGCAAGGGTTACTCAATTCGTCATTTTGACGTGCATTTTTACTTATTTCTCTGTTAATCTAGAACGGTTGTATAAAATATTACATCTCACAATAGAAAACAGTTATATATGTATATATATTCTTCGATATCATAACAATAACAAATAAATAAACAGAAAACTACCTTTTCTCTGTCTATTGATGTTCCGTCACCGTGCCGGATATTAGATACCATCGAGTCCAAACATTTTTTGCCGGGGTAGTTTAGACACAGTGTTAAAGTTCATAGGGATTAGCTCAATTTCAATAGTCAAGAACAAATGTAGGTTATACTATAATTCGATTAAGTCAAATAAAATTCAATAAACAATTGACCCATGTTAAAAACAAATTAAATATCGCATTACATGCACGGCGTCCGTATAAATTGACCTTTCGTATCCAACTGACCATATGGATAGAAACGATATCTGAATTGCGCAATCTTACCTTATTCTAAACTAATTTCTTAATTATTGATTAAAAAACGAACAATACCTCAACAGGTAAAATAAATTCGAAAAAAATCGAAACATCGAAACTCATTTTCTTTTGATAAAATCGGAATTGAAAACTGAATTTACCAGCAAAATGTCGCTTTCATATTTTTATTGACATTAAACATATTAATGATGTTCTCTCACAAAATAATTGAAATTTCGTGACTATGTTAAACGCATCTATCCCATCGAACTTGAGATAAAGAATACAACAGATACAGTTAAGTCTGCCTCATATCTTGACTTACATCTAAAAATCAACAATAAGAGTCGGTTGAAAACAAAACTTTACGACAAAAGAGATGATTTCAGCTTCCCAATTGTGAACTTTCCATTTCTATGTAGCAACATCATACGGAGTAACCTATATCTCCAAGATGATACGATATTCCAGGGCTTGTATTTCCTATCATGATTTCCTTGATAGAGGGTTGCTGCTCACAAGGAAGCTATTAAACCAAGAGTTCCAAATGGTGAAGTTGAAATCACCCCTTCGTAAATTTTACGGACGCCATCACGAGTTGGTTGACCGTTATGGAATATCCGCTTCACAGATGATAGCGGATATGTTCCAAATGTCGTAACTACAATCCCGTCCCCTTTTCCCCAAATGTGCCTTACCGAATTAGACTTATTACCGGGTTTGTACTAACATGAGCATCACGACGGGTGCCACGTGTTGAGCAAGATCTGCTTACCATTCCGGAGCACCTGAGATCACCGCTAGTTTTTGGTGGGGTTTGTGTTGCACAGTCTTTAGTTTTCTATGTTGTGTTTTGTGTACTATTGTTTTTCTGTTGGTCTTTTTCTTTTTCTTTTTTAGCTATGGCGTTATCAGTTTATTTTCAACTTATGAGTTTGAATGTCCCTTTGGTATCTTTCGCCTCTCTTTTAGGACGATAACTATAACATTCTATAATAAAAGTTTCTTCTTGTTGACATATCTATATCTTAAAATAACAATATGACAGAACCTTAAAATATTGATTATATTTCTGATTTCACACTGATTCTATAAACAAATACACCGAAGCTGATATCAGCAAAATGCTGAACTTTTTGATCGACAACATATTTGTTGAGTTTAAAAGATTAATGAGCAGACAGTTGGTATTTCAATGGCTACAAATTGTGTACCACTACTGGCCGACTTGTTTTTGTACTCATATGAATCAGAATTCGCACAGAATTTTCTCAAAGACAAAAAAAAAAGCATATTACACATTTTATCACATATGGATGATTTAAAACTAGAATCCATGACAATTGTGATGACTTTCCAATTGTCATATTTATGCGACTGTCATACAAGTTAGCGGTTTAGCTAGCTGTAAAACCAGGTTTAATTCACCATGTTCTACATAAGGAAATGCATGTACCAAGTCAGGAATATGACAGTTGTTTTCCATTTGTTTGATGTGTTTGAGCTTTTGCCATTTTATAAAGGACTTTCCCTTTTGAATTTCCCTTGGAGTTCGGTTTTTTTGTGATTTTACTTTTTCTTCCCATTTCTCAACAGTAACATACCTTCTGCTCCATCGTATGGCGTTTACATATCTCAATTAATGCGTTACGTTCTTCCATGATCACACTATACGGAATTCATTGAAAGGGATGTGTTCCTTATACATAAACTGTTACAACAGAGTTAGTAAAAAATCGGCACTACATTAGTTTTACGGTCACCATTACTAATTTGTTGACCGATAAGATGTGTCGGTTTCTCACTAGCGACATATGTCGCTTTCGGGGTATTAGATCTTTAAATACCAGTAGAGTCATCTGATCTATTATTTTACCGATTGTGTCTTTTCCCGATTCTGACATATTGACCGAGTGTGAATTCACATAAAGGGCGATTTATGCATAGAAGGAGAAGCTTACCGTCAGGCCTGTCGACACACCCGGTCTCACTCCTTTTGGAGTTCATGCTATTCCCTTGGTGTATGTTTGTAATTTGATCTGTCTCTTCCAAATTTTTCGATTTACGAGATCTGAACATTGGTAAAAAGTAAAATCACAAAAATACTGAACTCCGAGGAAAATTCAAGAGGAAAGTCCCTAATCAAATGGCAAAATCAAAAGCTCAAACACATCAAACGAATGGATAACAACTGTCATATTCCTGACTTGGTACAGGCATTTTCTTATCGAAAAAATGGTGGATTGAACCTGGTTTTATAGCTAGCTAAACCTCTCACTTGTATGACAGTCGCATCAAATTCCATTATATTGACAACGATGCGTGAACAAAACTGTCACCTTAATTTACGTTCGAAGTTAAGACTTTATTGCAATATTCTTCATAGAAATCCTAAATCGGAAGACCTTAGACTTAATGGGTCAAGTTACAATGAACTTAAGATAAATAAACCGATGTAAAAAAATGACAATATGGACCTAAGTGTTCGTTGTATTATATTTACTACTAATATCTCTATTATATGCAATTTGAATAATTTTATAAATGAAATTTGTTAAATAATGGTGAGTAATATTAACTAAAATTGCATCATCTATTATAGTTGTAACGTAGTAATTTGATATAGAAAACTATTTCATAACCATATTTTTCGATAGTCCAGACAAATGTCAATAAACAAATTATACTATAATGTAAACACTTTAAATGACCAATTTTACAATGTCAGAGTATCACATTTAGACCGATGTGTGACAATGTTTTTCATACTTCGATGCTAAAAACGTTTTGGTTTTCTTCTTAAACACCAAAACATAAACTGTCTGAATTTGAACTATAACAGTAAATCAGGGAGGTTAAACGTTGCAGAAAGAACTTACCAAGAACGCCAAGTCTGTAGTTCAAAGTTATGACAATTATTTCTTCATGTGCTGCTAATATATCACCGTCAAGCATGGCGCCCATACCTACTACGTTGGAACCGCCATGAATAAATAAAAGGACTGGCAGTAACGCTGTATCTACCTGTGGAACAATCGTGTAAAAATAAACAATATGTTCCGAAAACACTTAATGCAGATTTACAACTGATTTTTACAGATTAATCTTGTGCTGTTTTGTTACACTGTTGTCCCGTCAAAGGTTAGGAGAGGGCTGAGCAAGCATGTTAACCCCGCCACATTCATAATGTCCAAAGTAAGAGAAGCCTGTAATCAGTGGTTTTCTTTTGTTGCTGTCTGTCCTATTTGTTTTTCGTTTATTGTTTAAGCATATAACCGGACGTAGGTTTTCTTGTTTGAATTGTTTTACATTTTGTCATGCCGGGTCCTATATAGTTACTACACTGTATGTGGTTTGCTCATTGTTGAAGGCCATATTTAATACATGTTCAGGACGAGCCGTACGTTCACATTTAGTTGCTTACATCAACGTCCTTTTGGTGTCTGGTGGATTGTTGTTTAATTGGCAATTAAACCACCTCTTGTTATTTCTATATTGTATTTCCAAATAAATTTAGAATTTGAAACTGTATTTAGATTTGAATTTATAAAAACATACGAGAGAATACTTCTCATCTTATTTTATATAAATTAGTCTATTCATACCCCCGCTCCGAAAGGAGGGGAGTATACAGGTATACGGCAGTCCATTCTTTCCATCCGTGTTTTCATCAGTCCGTCGGTCCCATATAATTGTGATCGCATTTGTTTCAGGATATACACATCAGAGCTTCTTGAAATTTGATATGAAGCTTCATGCATGTGACCATACTACACTGTATAAAGCTTCATCGCTCATAAGCTTCATATTTAAAAATAACGTATATATTGGTACACTTAATGGCCATGTTTGGCATTTTTCTGGCATTTTTCACAGGACCTACAAATCAAAGCTTTAGGAAGTTTGGAATTAAGCCTCAGGTGAGCATGCTATACTATGTGATGCGTTTTCATATTCAATACTCATCAACTCCCTGTTTACCGAATACATAACGGGGGGGGGGGGGGGGTATCATAAGTGAGATATAGCTACAGTTCAGCTTCTTTTAAGAAAGATGACCTAGGTACATAGCCATAAAGAGTGTTATCTCCATTAACTTCCATTAGAATTCCTGTTTGATTTATATAGGTCATTAGAAATAAATCTTGAAAATGTTTTACAAAAATGAACAAATTACATACTCTTGGCACATAGATATTCAGATATAGACAGTCTTCGGCAGTTTTAACAAACTCTGGTTTATGAAACTGTATATAGTCCATAGAATACTGCGGACATGCTGGTGATAATTCATTGGTCTCTAAAATGATAGGCTTCCAGGATTTAGGCTCCTGTGGTCTCTATAATTATAAAATATTCATCTTACCTAACTCACAGAATTATAAAATATTCATCTAACCTAACTCACAGTCGTAAAACTGCGTCGACAAAAGTCTCAAACCAGCATGCATCAAAATCATGTTGAAAAAAGCCTATCAAGACCATGACCAAATGAGAAAAAAAACACAATATTTTAAAATAAAGAAAATATAAAATTTGTTTTTTTAGGAAGAGAGAAAATCTTTTTATTGACGTTAAGTGTCAAAGTGTTTAATGAAAAACATATTTTATATCAAATTGTTATCCCTTCCATGCAATATTATAGATAGTCTATTTCTCTTGCATTAACCCATCTTTGCGTCTTCTTTAAGATGTTTCTTAGAAATCAACAGAACGTTTTATCATGACTTTTTATCAGAAGTTATGGGAGAGACGGAGTTCTTTCTTATGAATGACTTCACCCCCAGGAATAGGTTTAAGTTAATGTTTTCTGCTTACTAAATATTTTAATAATAATCTGAACATTTCACACACAAACATATTTAAGAATTTATATCGATATGGGCATTATGCGTTCGTCTCCATTATTTCAATGATAAAAGTCAAATAACTACAAAACAACAAATTGAACATTGATAAAAAAAATATGATACAGTCATAGCTGTATTAGTTGAAATAAAGTCGTTAGCAAGATTTGGCGCAACTTGTTGGACATTCGGTTGCTCACCAATTTTGTTATTGATTTAGTTATCCAACTGTTTTGCTTCGAGCGCCACTGATGAGTATAATATAGAGTAACGTAAGTCTAGAAAAAAAAACTAAAGTCTAGTTTATCGATAGGTTTGAAATACCTCGATTAATGAGTTGCACTAAAGTGTTTCGTAATATTCCCAAATCGGTGATTTTGTCTTTTAAAGAAATTGTATAGACGCGGACCGCGACGATGATAGACACCTAATACGAGTTATTTAAATTCATAGTTCACCCAAAACAGAAGTAGCAGACGATTTTTGCATACTGTACGGATATCTCATAAATTTGTTTGAACGCCCTTATTTGTATAGTGAAATTGCAAATTGGCCGAAGAAATGATCTATACATTAATAATATTCGGACATTTACCTTGAAGACTGTCTTACCTTAAAACGTAAATAACTAATAGGAGGAGACGCATAGGGAACACCAAGATACTCCTCCACTTTTACATTCGGAACACGTACGGATATTTTCCCACTAATTTTTCCATATAATGTGTTTCTTATTGGTATATTCTGAGGTGTACAGTAGCTGATTAACATCCAGAGGATACAAAATGCAAACATTTTTCCGTCCTGTTTTCTTTGCGTTCGAGCCCTTGTTTCGTATTTTTACAATAAGAAATGTTAACTATGTGTTGTTCTGTTTTACCCTTCTTATAGTAGGTAATTGCTTTAAAGTAGGATGTAACATATTACGTTCTCAAATTGCCAGTACTTAGTTGAATTGAGGTATTATAGTCTTCATAGGCACTAATGGTTCTGAAATAACCTTTAGGCGGTACTCTTGAGGACAAAACTTATTAAAAATATAAAAAAAAAAAAAATACTTAAATGAAAAAAACTTCCGTTCAATCATATTCAAATCTAAGTGTTTCTGTTTCATCTGAACCTTCTGTGTAGTTAAAAGACGAAGATGACATATTGTGTTCACAAACAAGTAGCCAACCTGTTTTTTTTCTTCTAAAATTACCAAATATAAGAAACACGGGTTCTCAGTTTTTGCTAGCGTGTTTCTGTGCTAGGCTTTTAGTGAAGTTTAAAATAATTGAATAAAAAAGATGGATAAGTGAATATTTGAAAGCATTTCAGAATTTAATGTTAATAATAAAATATCTATTATTGGTGTATAATGGTTCCATATTAATAATCTGAAATTACTCTTGAATTGCTTATCTCCATTTTACCACAATCGTTTGTATCGGAAAACCTTACAGAGAAAACATTTGTTCAAAACAAATTGTATATGCTTTTCTTTGCAGTAAAAGTTCTGTAAGAACTCGCTTAAATATAACAATTGTCCATTTAATGGAATCGACTGATAATTTGTTTTTCATATTTAATGCAAACTCAAAAGCTTCGAGAAGAAAAACACGCAGCTTTGCTTGAAGTTATGATTTTTATGTTTAATTTATTATTACTGCCTGAAATCTAGAAATCTTCAAGGTTGATGTAAAGGGTTTCACATGGAAAGGTGGATTGAAATTATTTTTCTTTGGTTTTATCATATTACAAAAATGGTAGAAAGGGGGAATCAGTTCTTCCCCCAGACCAACAAACCGATTTCTGCACCCAAAAAATGGTAGCCTTATTAAACACTTGATACACTCCTAAAACAAGAAACTGCTATTTGTTAAAATCATACTACCATCGAGTCAAACTATGCAAACTTTATTCCAAATAAGATTCAAATCAAATTTTCTAAATTTTTATTTGGTGTAAATGAAGGTGCTGTTAATAATGCCGTGCTTTCTGAATTAGGTTTATTCCCACATTCATTGTCAGCCCTAAAAATACAATTAATTTCTGGCTTTATATTATTGATATGAATAGTGACAGTATGGTAAAGAAAGCATACAATGAAAACTTACACCAGTATTATGGTTTTTGTAGTAAAATAAAGTGTTATTAGGTAAATTTGGTTTTCAGCATGTTTTGGAAAATCAAAATACCATGTCGAAGAGAAAATTACCTTTTTCATTTCAAAAGAAATTCCATAAAATCCTGGAAACAAGCTCTTTTTGTGACTCTAACAAAGATAGTCATGGTAAAAAAATAAGAACGTATCGTAAAGTTAAAAATAATTTCGAATTGAAAAATATCTCCTACTGGACCTTAACAGAAATGTTATTTCTGCAATGGTAAAAAATAGAATTAGTAATTATAGCAAATAGCAAAAACTAATAGAAGTTGGTAGATATACTAGAACGCCTTTAGAACAGAGAATTTGTCCACTCTGCAAGGATGGAAATGAAGATGAATTCCATTTCCTCATTAAATGTAAAGCGTTAGAATTTGATAGAAATATACTCTTTTGTATTTAAGTGATATAGTCCCATCTTTTGTTAATATGTCTGATCAAGAAAAAAATAGTTTCATTTTAAAAAGTAATGATACTGACATATGTACTGTATGCGTAGCTGGAATAAGCAAAATGTATAAGAACATTTATTCAAAGCAAACATAATGTTGTTAAAAACTGTTGTAGTATGAACGCTTATTGTTATACCTCCAGCCAATGTAGATATAAAATATGAGTCTCTTATCATTGAGATAATATGTCTTTGTTTATTTGTCTTTGTTTTTTGTTTAATTTTGTATTTGTATTTTGTAAATGTCACCTGGTATCATTCCTGTATTGAAATTTACACCAATAAAATTATTTGACGATCAAATATTACATGGAAGTTAACAAATCAATATATTTGCAAATTTCGTTTTTTAATGTTTTGTACTAACTAGTAAAGTTTCCCGTATTTTCCTGTGCGAAACAATATTTTCATGTACAATCATCATACGTTATAAAATACGTTAGTTTTTACATCCTTAAACATTTCGGCTATTTTTGTGTATGACGTGTGCTGCGGTAATAATATTAATAAGTTTTTATGTGTGTTTTTATTGAAAATTTGAATGATGGTAGACAAAATGTATATATTCATG